CAGATTTCCTCATCCAGAATAATATTTTTGTTTTGCTGCCCTGAACTTACATTGGATGTCTTGAATGACCCCCAACGGTCTCTAAAGTAATTTATTTTATACTTTGAAATGATACATCCCGAAGTTGTGATGCCAAAAGCCAATTTGATCCCATGAAATTGCAATTGATATACAAACCTTTTAGGGGCACCCATACATTATCATCAACATCAGCCAACGTGTTTGTGTTGGACTAATAATTCTTACTCTGTTGTCGCCCAGATAATGGAAAGATCGTGTTTCTTGTCACTCTACCTTTCGTGTATTTAGCAACTCCTTATGGCATTACATTAAGGGCCACTTTAATGGTCCTTAAGAAGGCATCAGTCAGGCAGTAGGGGTTGGGCTGTCAGCGTACAAACAGTAGGAAAAGTGCTCACGCTGTTAAAAGTTCACACTGACCTCAGTTGGGATGGCTTTTCCCCCAAATACACAAATTTTGGAAAAGGTGGGATATTACGTCTTCCATGGTGTACAAAAGAGAAGTCAAACCCCACAGACATAGTTTTAGACATAGATATATTTTAGACAACTACCTTTCATTATGTAGATTTTAGTTATTTTGTACTCTGTTTCAATGTTCTTTCAAGTTTGTAATTTGCAATTAGCCTCCGGGCAGAGATTTGGAACAAACTTATAACAATATCAGATAGTTTATTGAAAATTAATGCCCAAGGGCTAATTGCAAGATCATAGCACATGATAAAATAATGATACAATAGGAATGATTCAACTTACTACATTTAGAGTATAACCAGAAATTGATTGTGAAAATCAGGTTTTGCCAGTCCCTGGATACATATCTGTAACCGTATGGGGTAATGTAAACTGTTTGTAGTGAGCAAGTTTACAATTGCAATGTCCATTACTTTGAATTCAAGGCCAGCCACAGAGGAAACATGTTCATGAAAGAAAGATTATCAAGATAAATGAACTATTCATTGAGACGACATGCACTAATACTACTCGCACGGTACCTACGATACGTATATAATGAAATAACCAAGTGTCTAGTTATTGCGTGCAGTATACTTGGAGCAGTAATCCACAAATTGTATCCTTAAGCTACCATATAGATAAAGCATTAGAATAGCAGCTGCTTTTCTACTACAACGATATCCAATGCCTCGTTTAGTTGTTTACACTATAGCTATACCTACATGGCAGTTTCGTTTAAGTATGGTCCTTAAAGCTTGCGTAGCAGTAACAAACGTTACTATAAACTTGAATGACTACCCACTCTATACACTAGAAGGTTACCCCCTGTTTGAAGCTTCTGATGTTTGTAGCATATTTTGCATGCTTCTGTTGCATTGGTCCTTTTCAAGTTATGCCTTCAGCCTGCTCCCTTTGTTACTTCACCGTTGAGCCAAGACTTTGGGTGATGGATTTAGGGATAAACACAGTAGCTGACAATGGAGCTGAGAATAGCCTACGAACGTGTCGTATTTAATTATACATGTACTGTGTGAATGGGGGATCGTGACATTAGTATCTGAAGATTTGGGCCTGCCTAACAAAGGCAAGAGAATTGTCTAAACCTCGGCCTATTAAGTGCATCCAGTGCAATTTCATTGCGGTAAACATGGATTTTCAATAGCATACTGATATCTATGCGGCAACAAGATGGAAGGATTCGAACTCGGGACCTTGTGGTATCGTCGACAAGTCTTTGTCTGGTGCCTCCCGGCATTTCCCTTCCCCATCCCCGTCCCTCAAACACCATGTTTACCTGGTCGGTCCACCCTACGATCAAACAGTCGCCTTTGTTGAACAACTTTTCAATCACGACCGGCGAGATGTTTTCCTCGCTGTGTGGTTTCCAGGTTTCCCCGGACAGCTCTCATTCATCACCGCCTAACCTTTCCAGTGAACTGCAAACTCAACCCCTGCACCCCCGCGGCCTAATCTAACGTCCCAACCTTCCTTACATCTTGTGGCAGATTTGGATGAAATCATTTGAAAGCGGGGGTGTTTGTAGTGGTTGTGTAACCAAAGCCAGTATGTACATCGCTGCTGTGCTTACCATGTTGACTTATTGTGCATGGGAGCTCGTAGAGTGAGGATCATTATACCAAGGTCTCTCCGATTAGGGCCATTATACCATCGATTCACAACAAAGTCAAGAGGCTGAAGGACAATATCGTAGGCTTGTTACAGAAAAGACTTGCAGAAGGGCTGCACTAGGTATGATCTGAGCTTTCTTAACGGTTCCGTTAACATTTTGTCAAGAGGTATTGAGGAGTGTGACATCTTACATGGGCAAGCAAACTATAAAAATGCATCCTTAAAACTTCTGTCAGTCGTTGTACGCAAATTACCTGTCGTAATCATATATTTAAGTACACCTTAAACATGCGTTAAGGTACAGGGTAAGGAATAAATGGAACATTTACGTATGCTTTAAGGTGAGCTTGAGAATTGATGTTTTGCAGTGAATCATTGAATGCGTAAGTGTAAATTATCATCTCTAGTTCTGATTTAACATTTAAGATATAGATATGAAGTTACGTTGTGTTTACAAGTACGTATACGTTTATGGTAGTCTGATCATCAGTAGGAATCACTACAGGGCGTTTTGGTAGTCAAGACAACATCAGCTATGCCCAAACACGAGATTCAGCCTCATATCAACCTCAATGTCATCTTTACCGTCACCATATGGGGATAAAGTTGTGTACTAATAACTTCGACAAACATGCGAGAATAGAATGTGTCCACACAACCCCACCCGGAGTTAGAACAACACGTTAGTACGTGCTTCTTGGCAACTTGTTATGCAGAAAACTTGGTGGGAGAGTTTTTGTATTTTGACATTATCATTGACGAGTTGTTGGTTTTGGTCACAGATATTGAACTGTATTGTTATCCTTATCACGCAATCCTGAATAAGGTCCGTGGTTATACAGTAACAGTCTAGCAATAGGGGGTCTGTAGAGTTACGCTCTAGACCCAATTAACGAAGGCGCTAGACTATTAACTACAGTTTAAGACCTGGCTATATTGCCTGTTGGACTTGATTAGGCCAAGTTAATTTGATTCTATGGATAACATTCCCTGGGAACCCCAAAACTATGGCGATAAAAAAATGTTTGGAAAAAAACTGCCTTCATTGTGAAATCTACGTAGTTATGAAGGTTGAACAAATCATTCAACACACAAAGTGGCGAATAATAGACTCGTCATTTTTATATTAGATATACTTTTATATTTTTTCATATTCTGTTCTTTTCCTTTGAAAATGATTTTCGCATTCTACGACATGAGTAGCGTTTTACGATGTTGGTGCAATTTACGGTATATATTTGCTCATTTTGCAGCTTCTTTGTACGATTTACAGTAAGGTCGAATAATTTTAGTGCCAACGGACGAAAAGTCATGCTATCCATATAATTAAATCAACATGGCCTTATCGGTCATAGTGATTTCGCCTAGCCGTTGGCAACTGCGGATTGAAGACTTTTATTGTCGTGCAAAAATTGATTAAATCGACTGAAAAGGTGCCGGACACTTAATAGATCTGACCTTCTGTTTGGCCGTGTTACTTGGCGATGGGGTTTTTCTATGCTTTATGGTACTTTATTGCTAAGTAACAGTCCTTAGTCTGTTTCAAACAAGGAATTAACGAGGATATTTCTCGACTTTTCGCATCAATCTCAATCGCACGAGGCCGACGGAAAAACGGCTTAGTTAGGGCTATGACGTCTTGCGTCAGCACATTGGATGTTGGCATGGCAACGTCTGACGTCAAACTGACGCTGCCACTCACAAAAATACCTCTGATTCAGCCACGCAGCAACACACTTCTAGTTATATCGCAAGTCCAAATTAAACCATCTGTCACAGCATTGGATACAGATTGGGTAGCAACTACTAAGTGCAAGCTGTATTCCTTAATCTGTGAGTATGCTAGGAGATAAATAGACAATACTTTGGCCTTTTAGCACTTTAGCAATATATAAAATCGCAGGCCTTTTGCGGCACTGCATGTCACTTTATCACTCATGACATCAGTGTACTGTGTACCTCTCCATATGCACATATAATGTTGTATATGGCTTTTATAGGTCTGTATTGCCGGTCAGTATTCGTCTATAGCTTGTTCTGTAAAGCCCCTGTCACACGTAGCCGCATACTAGTATGGCCTTCCAAACACTTGTTGGCAATCACATTTGACTCAAATTTACCTTAAATACGATTCGACTCATATAGAAGGGAGTTGTGGCCTACATTTGGTCAGATTTCTCTCAACTGACTTCTGTCAACCTTGGTCGGCAGGTGTTCGGGGAAATTGTGACAGGGGCTTAAATCTAGTCTACACAAATAAGCAGCAAAATCAAAGCAAGACGGCACGTACTAGATGGTTACACTAAAGCTTAGGCATAGTTTATGGAGTACGCGACTGTGTACCAAGCACTCTACTCTAGCAGTTACAGCTCCGCCATAGCGTATCTAGGGCGACCATGACCCACTTTCCCACGCGGACATAACCGAGATAATCGCATTTCAGCAGCGCTGATTCCTTCTGTTTTGCTCTGGCCTCCCTTTATGACTTACCAGTGAAAGTATTTTAATCCTCTAAAGGAACGGTTTTCAATTATGGATGGGGCTAATTCATAGAAATTGGTTCGCTCATTTGCCAGTGGTCGTGATGTATAAAGTGTGTCCGTGAAACCCCTCCTCCACCCTTCTCAAGGTTTGCCAACAGCGGCTAGGCAACGTTACGTGGAAAATTACATTCTTAGACCGCACTTCGATGTTATAAAAACAGCCTAATAGTGTGCATTCCTTTCGGGCTGAAGAACGCGGCACAAACATACCAAAGTCAGTACCAGACCCAAACGCGATGATTCTCCCTTTGTGTTCCCTGTCATGTTTGCCACTGTGGTGACATGGATGTGTGTAAAACGTACGATGCTTTGTTGTTTTTCACTGACCCAACTTTGTCTTTGTTGCCGCAGGTGGTGCGGACTAACACAGCTCATCCACGTGGCCGGGATAGTAACTGTACCGACAGGACCGCAGCAGCCATCCTGACCTACAGGCCCTTTTGGACCACGTTTCGCGCCGTTCCACGAAGCAAGCCGTCACTAGGGCACCGACCCCGACCTTGATCGACGCGATCCAACGCCGCTGCCATCTCCCAAGTAACGCTATCTTCACCCCACCCACCCTACAAGTTTGCTCATTAGTTTGGCCAACAGGTTGAAGGCGCTGTCTTGACGACAACAGAAGCCCCACGACTCCTCACCGCATTCTCTAGGCAACCGTCCTCGGGTGCAGAACCGTCCCTCCCCGCAGGTTTTCAATCGTACACGCTTCGATGACAAGTGCAGACATGGGGGAAATTCAAGGCGATATCTCGGACTTGGCACAGCTGAAGGCCATGACTACAAAGCTGAATTTGATGACGCGCCGGCCGTCGTACGTCGAGTGGCGAAAGCAGCTGGAGAGACCTCGGCCCAGACTCGGCAGGCTGCCCGAGGGACCGGGAGAGAGCCGAGGGGATGAGGAGAGGAGAGAGGACATCGACCGGGCCCTGAACTGGCTACGACGAGAACTGGTGAGTACTGGACATAAATTAAGTTTCTCTGTATCTGTATCGGTATAGCTGGTACAATCGCCCTTCGGCGTAACATACCAGCTTCGTAACACACCAGCTTTCTATCTCAGCTCTCTATGCTGCCACAATTTACTGCAAGAAAGCCTATATTTAAGCACCTCAAAGCCTGCGTAAAGGCATACGCAAGTAAAGAAACGGGATCTTTATACAAGCTTTAAGTTGTGCGTAAAGAATAGATTCTGTGCAGTGGCAAGTATGTTATTGGCATGAACAGCAAATCTACTGTACTCCCTTTCAGAAATATGCATACACTACGTGAGGTGTCGTAGCAATCTTCCTTGTCGTTGGCTTTGTTTATACAAATACCCTGACGGTCTCTTAGTGTAACATTGCCATTTGAAAGGGTTGGTCATTTTTTTGTTAAGGACTTGTTTCGGGTGGGGTTTAACCTGACATATGATACAGTAACGCTTAGAGAATTTATCAGAGTTGCTGCTGCCTGAAATGTCTATGGCAAGGAATTCGAAGTAACGCGACAATACGTGACGACAACTATCGCTAGTCTCGCAATGGAGTTATACCAATAAAGTTTCATGTATTCGCTCACAGCCAAATCCTGGCCTCTATAACTCTAAAACTCAGTAGAGTATATCAAATCATATTAGCTGAGAAACGACTCACTGAAAATAGGCCAGAAACCCAGTGTGAATTGAATACATAGGTGCGATATTAGTGGCGTAAAGGTTTTATCCTAGGAATCGCAACTCGGGTAACCTTAACTAGAAAACTGATTAAAAACGACAGAATAAAACCCTCTCAATTTGTTCTCTTTGTAAAATTTTAGAAGTGGCCATTATTCAATTGCAAAGCTTTTCTTCAGCTTTTATCTCAAATTAAGCAACCCAGTCAACTATGTGATTAAAGTCGAAAAAACGAGGCACTGCGTATAATGCATAGCTTTAGACACCGCTTACAACTAGGAGCGCCTATTGTGTTAGTTAATCACAGAACCAATAGGCGCTTTTGTGTTCCTAAATAAGCCTATTACTTCATACAATAACAGGATTAAGGTCTGGGGACCACCCGGTACAATCTATGTGTTTCTAAACGTTAAACGACAAACTTTGTGGGCTGAATAAATCGTAGAAATCTTTACATGTACGATAAATTTGACCCACTATGTCCGGCTAACCCCACTGGCCAGTTGCAGTCCTTTTTACAGGCCAATTTCTACTATTCATTCAGCCTGCAAAGCTCTGGTGGCGTACAGATGACAGAATAACAGATCCGATACAGATAACAGAAAAGGATTGAGAGAAATCGGTTTCTTCTATTAAGCATATCTATACGTGTTTTGTTCGGCTAAAGAGAACAGTCATACTTGTCTAAAACAGTTATACTTGTCTTTACCCACTATAATTTGACGGACAACCTTTGACAAAGGCAATGCTGAAACAGCAACAACGAAAAATTAAGTTAACCAAATGAAAAAAACGCCGTGGCTTCGAAGCCATGCAGATTTCACAGAGAGTACTTAAACCAGATTTATGATATCAATTTCTAAACAGTCATATCGAGTTTCATAAGTACCTTATCATCCAAAGTACTCAACTGCCAATCATCCCAAATATTTCGCCGTATCCTAGCAACGCTGACTCAGTTTATACTTGTTTTTACATCATTTTCTTTGATCTATTTTAGTTTCAAAATTTCTAATTCAAGAGTTGCTAAGATTTTAATTATATTACTTCCAGCTCTGTTAAGTGGAAACCATTTTCTGACCGAATCGTTATCTTTTGAAATCAAGAAAAATGAGGCCGTTTGCCACCATCAAACTTTGTTTTATACATGTGTGAATACTTTTGTACATTTCGTTCTCGTCAAAGTAATTAAGCCGCATGGAGAAGCTATAAGGCAGGAATGCCGTAAACAAATACCACATAGCACGTTTGAATAGAGACTTCTCACCACGCGACATATTCTAGCTTGTACGGTCCATCTTTGATGTGCTGTTTGGCACAATATTACTGATAAACAGATAAAGGTTGAAAGCGGCAAAGCTGGAAGAACAAATATAGAAAATATTTGCAAATATAGACACAACCTGTGAGGTCTTCTGGTCAGAGGAAACATGACCTGATTTTTTTAGTACTTAGGAGATCCACAAATGTGACATGGCATCCAAAGATAACAGAAACAAGGTACTTCAGTTGCCTTGTTCATACTTGCAGATCGGTAGATAAAGTTTTCAAGAGGCTATTTGAAACAAAAGAAACGGGGAGGAGAAAGTGAATTACTGCAGGATGCCTACTCTATGGTTGCAATGTACGAGGATGAGATCAGCGCCACCTAGCAATTTTACTGAGTACAACAACTTGGCTAGAGACACATACACTGTTAAGTTGTTCTACAAAGCGCGGGTAAACTGTACACTGCTGCAATTCCTGCCAAAGAAATGGATTAGAAGCTCAGGTGCAAAGTATTAAACAGTGTACGTGTAGTCAGCGCCATCTAGCAATTTTCCTTGATAAGGCAACTTGCCTAGGGACATGTACACATACACAATGTTAGGCTGCTCTGTATTAAAAGCTTGGGTAAACTGTACACTGTGTTGCAATTCGATCCGTTCCAAACAAATGTACAGAGTTGCAACGTATAATAGTGCAGTCAACGCCACCTAGCAACATTTCTTTTTACGACACCTTGCCTAGTGGTTTCGTTTATACGAAGAGTTGATAATTGTATGCATTTTCTCGCATTTTTCCTACCCAGAAATTTACCAAGAAGAGAACTAGAATAGATCGTCGCCTGTGTTTTTTTTTTTAACATTATACTTGTTTCTACCCAGATCGACATGCGGTCTCAGGACCAGGCCCTGGCGCGCCAGCTGATGAGCCTGCGGAAGGAAATCCACCGACTCAAGTTACAGAAGAGCTGCAACGAACATCAGGAGATGCTCGAAGAAGTACATGAAATGCTCGAAGACCAGGACGAACTGTCAGAGTTGTCATGTGACATGCCACTCAACGGTTACCATAGAAACCTGGGCACGCCCCTCCGCCAATTCGGAGTCACTAAGATGAACATTCACTCCAGAAGATTTTCCTTGTGTTGATTTATAATGTGGAACGTATTTTTATGTCATGATAGAAACCACGATTGAAATTATCTGGTTGCTGCTCTTCTATCAAAACACCTTTAATTGGGACCATGTATATGGAAATTAAAATGCTTAATAACATTAAACTACTAGCACGGTACATACATTGTATATGTACAGTCAATGACATCGATGTCATGCTCAAGATATACTTGTGAATATGGCTCAAAAACATGTTTCACTATGTATGTTCAAGGACATTCTACAAGTAGAATGTCCTCGATATGTAAAAACAAGGAGGTTAAATTAATTGTTTTCATCTTGAATCACATAATCACATTGGTGTAACCAAAGCAGCATCTTTGTTTTAACATTTAAGTTGTGAATGAGCTAAAATAACTGTAACATATATAAGGAAATATAAGTTGAAGAATATAGCATCAATATGTTGCAATTAAATTGCATTGGAATAGCTACTTACTGTTTGCTGAAATCTCAAGATGGCCGCCAGGAAAGTACGTCATCGGGCAGCCTCGGTTTGGATGTAGTCATGCGCAGTAGCCACGCTTGGTGGCATCTGGGGAATTTTCATAACATTGACAATTAATTCATTTAGCGGCCTTCCTGTTGTTTATGTTTTGTCATACTTCAGATTATTATTTACAACATGCTTGTAGGAAAGGTAGCAGGGCGTAACCAAGCAGAATGTTCGTTACGGATACATTTCATGTTTACTCATAGAATATTCAAACTCATAGAATGTTCAAAATTGCAGAGATTTCATGTTTACGTTCATTTGAATGATTTACCAAGTTATCCAGAGGGCACTACACATTAGAATTCTATACATATGTTTACGTACTTTGTTTCCTTTCTACTATTCTAGCCCGATTTTGTGTACAATATTAATGAATCTGAACAATGGGATGTATATATTTGGTGAACTTTGAACTTGTGTTTACATTTACCTGTACTGTTGGCGTCAGGGCCGGATGTTGATATTCTAAATAAAGTAAACAAAACAGGATTTACTTCTATTGTTTTGTTAATGTAACGCAGTGACAATCCCTTGAAAAATCAACAAAACAAAAGTCATAATAGGATACGTACCGGCCAATGTCCATCCGGCTCGCTGGTCTAGTGGTATGATTCTCGCTTAGGGTGCGAGAGGTCCCGGGTTCAATTCCCGGGCGAGCCCTGTGTTTTTTTATTCAGTTTATTATATTATTTTTACTTTCTTCTTCTTTCTTTTTTTTTTTTTTGCTTACATGCACTACCAGAAATTTTAAGGCTGGAACTTGATTCGTCTTCCAAAGAGCACACACTTTTCTATACCTAAAAAATCTCCTTGGACGCACGAAGGTAAACATTTACAACAAAGGAGAAGGAGCTTCTTTCCATCCGGCTCGCTGGTCTAGTGGTATGATTCTCGCTTTGGGTGCGAGAGGTCCCGGGTTCAATTCCCGGGCGAGCCCGTGAATTTTTTTTCACTCATCACGCACGAGAACAAATATAATTATACAAATTATATGAAATATATATTTGAAAGACGCGATGATAGAATTTGTGGACAATTTAAAGGTAGAACGTTACTACGTTTAAGAATGAATGGAAAATTGACTGTTCTACTATCCTTTTTTTCCTTTTTTGGTGTCTATCGCTTTGGGTGAGTTTATGAATGAAACCAAGGACGAATAATATCCTTTTATCTAACATCTATTTGCGGCCTTTCAAGGCTATGAAAAGAGAGCCTGGAGAACCGGTTTGTGCTTACGTCATCAGACAAGTAGGGTGATGCCGTCTTGACAGGTCGAGCGTCATCATGATCATTTGCTAGGACGATCCAGTGACAGTAGACAGCTCGCCTCTGAAAAGGTAAGTTAAAATTCATTTTGATGTACGATAGCTTACTCCCATGTACGCAATGTGAAAGGTGCATATAGCCTTACGTTTTGTTTTAATGCCATAGGGGTAGTGGGTTGTTAATCCACTGTATCTAGGGTATAGTACTAGAAGGCGGAGCCCATCCCTCACTTTTACCTCCCCAAAGTACCCATTTCACACCTGGGTTGAGCGAGGATAGCAGTGTACATAACTAGTAACTAAGTATGCATGGTGAACTAAAAAGTGTCACATACGAGCGTTTAGTCATGGCTCACCACCAGTCACATAGCTGCCACGCGTAAGCCATATGCGTAGGGGCAATGTGGCTTTCAACAACTAGCCATGGCACAGATCTCAAAAGTCGGGCGCTATGGCTATGCAATGGTCTTCAATAATTCTATGACTATATGAAGAGATCGACCTTCAACACTTGCAAAGCAAAATGTTAACGTTATGTTATAGACATCGTAGACTGAGACCTGAATGATCGTACGATCAATATAAGAAAATGCTTACGAATGAATACATCAACCTACGACTATTTACTGGTTGTTTGTCACCAAAAGTAGGTCACTTCTTACTTGTAAAGAAAGTACTAGTAGTCCATTGAAGAGTACGTTTAGCAACTTGTATACGGTTAGGCGCAAGTCATCTATTTTCATTTTCAAGTCAGATAACCTTATAAAACGACTATTTTATCTCAAGATAGGGTCGATGTTTTAACTTTTAGATACTTACTTAACTTACCTCTCAGTTTAATTGTATGTTCCACCGCATATTTGTCCAAAAAGTAGGCAAATTCGAATCTGGAAGGACGAACAAAATGGAGGCCCTTTGTGTTATGCAAACGAACCTGAAGTGAGACAAAAAAACAGAGAATGGCCTCTAGAACGTCTATGTTATACAAGTTGTTAGATGTGCCAACATGATGAACTTAGGCCTGACCTTCTAGTTTTATTGTCAAAATTCTAAAGATTCGCCAATGCATGACTTCACCTAGGCTAACAAGTATTCAGTAAACATACGTCCGAGCTAGGTGTGCAATCAAAGAAACATCGTTTATATTGTGAAATTCATGTTCACAGGAACATCCTGTCAATAGAGGACAAAGTCTTATTGTCGATGTCGCAACCGCTACAGGAACATCCTGTTAATAGTAGGGGAAAAAAATGATATTGTATTATATACTTCCAGAAGGTTTGGACTCTCAGATTTGTTGTTCTGTCAGGAAACGATATGGAGAAGCTAATGACAGAAGAACTAGGAGGGATCGCGCGGCACCAGCAGTACTATGAGGCCGCCTACAGGACGTACCTGGACGCCTGTAGCGGACGGCAGTACTACCTACAGCTCCTGGGTGAGACGGTCGCGACGGCGGCTGACGTCGACGTTGATGACGGCTGTTTCCGTGTTTTGAGCATCGGTGGTGGGTCGGGTAGGGTCAAGGTTCCCGTATCATAATTCTCCATCAAAGACGTCCTTTCATCTAGAATAACGTTAACACATAATCATAGATTATAAATTACTCTCTATGTTAACTTTGTCGTTTTGTCGGGCTTTCTTTTTATGGCCCTTTTTTAGATATGTTATAAAGCGATAGGCAAACGTTTGGACCAAAGAAAATTTGGCAAAATAGAAAGCCCGACAAAACGTATAAAGTGTCTAAAACATCCAAACCAAGCCTGCTTGCATAGTATTACATAGATGGTGTCTTTCATATACACCGTATAATATATATAGCCCGGCCTTCCCTCCATATGGAACTATCTACGTTCAGAACTATGGAAGGCCTGGAGTCCAGCATTTTAAGCTTTGGTACGCTTCTCAAGATCCACTACTTTGGCGGATAATTCTGTACTGAAAACCCTAAACGTGCCATTGCGTTTTCATAATCTATTCAGTTGTTTGAGTAACTGTTTTCTTACCAATATGCGTGCATTCCTTGGAACAACAGGTGAAGCCGACAGTGTGGTCCTGAGAAAACTGCAGGAGATTCACCACAACACGCACGTCATCGTGGTGGAACCCTCGGAGGATTACATCACTGAATACAAGGTACAAACATTGCCTCCTTTACAGACATTCCATGTGCATGGGCGTGCCTTTTGCCAGTGTAAATTTGTGTGGAATATTTATGCAAAATAACTTTAATTTTATTCATCAATAAATATACACCAAAACGTCTGTTTTCAGGAACTATTGGAGCATGAGCCGCACATCGGCAGGCTAACCTTCGATTGGCTACAACAAAGAGCAGAGGAGTACTTCTCCCAGGAGGCTGGAGAGAGGTGTCACCTGATCCACGCCATCCATGTTCTGTACCACGTGGACGACCTTGCCGTGACCTTGAAGAACATGTGGGACTCCCTAGCGGACGGTGGGAGCATGGTGGTAATGATAGAATCAGGTAGGAAGGTATTTGCCTTTTTCTCCTTCCCATGATGCATTCACCATTTCCCATTCCCAGCATGCATAGCACTGGGGAATTCCCAGGATGCATGTCGCCAGGGGGGATCCCCAGGTTGCATTGCGCAAGGGGGAGTCTAATATATGGCATAAAAAAGAGGATCCGTTCCACTCTGTGCAGAGCACAGGGGTGGTGCCCATCTTCGTTTCTGTAGCCCTTGGGCCACACAGTTGTGCAAGCACTACAACAGGAGGCTAGCGTTATACAGCTTGATTTTCTGTGTGTTTTGAGGAGTTGGAGCATTTTGTTGTTCAAAATCAAGTTACTTTTCGAGTCATCAATGGATACAAAAACGTCTGACGAACATAACAGAGAACTGCATGTATAGGCACGGTTTTCAACAATTCCTTGTCATCATCTGTAGGTAAAAGCGACTTCGGTAGGTGGCGCTTGAAAGTCATGGAGACTCTGGGGGTGCCTGAGGACAAGCGTCTGGCAACCTGCCTGAGGGTCTCCTCAGATGTGATAAAGATACTGGACGACAATAACATTAACTACAGCGCCGTGTCTACATCTCCTGAGGACATCGATGTTACCGAATGCTTGAAGGAAGGATCAGTATCAGGAAAATTACTTCTGGATTTCTTGATTCAAACCGCTTACGCCTCTTCAAATCCAGAATTAAGATCAGTTCTGCTGAAGTATTTGAAGAGCCCCGAATTTTCGACCAGGGTTGATGATAAAGTGGTCATCACACAGTATACAGATGTCATAGTAGCTAGGAAAAAATCTACGTAGCTGCAGGGGCATGAAAAGGCTGTCGTCTGTTTTGATTAGCATTTGATAAAATTGTTAAGCTGTGAATGAATTTGAATACTGAAGAAGAGAGAAATGTATAATAGAATAAGCCACATAAGTACACATTGTAGACTCTTTGTACATGTAGTTACTTATACAAGAACATTTTTTTCTGGATTGCAGGCCATTTTTCTGGATTGCAGGATTAACCTTATCTAACTATAATTAAATCGTTACGATGCATGTATATATGTGAGTCTTGTATCAAAATGTGTGTGATGGAAAAATAAAGCGTTTTCAACATTTAGGTCTACCTAAAGTGATTACCACTACTATTTCTTGGTACCACATAACGCCACCCCCTAGTTTCCTATATTTCGGATCATTGCATTCGAAATGTCAAAAATGCAGTGTTCCTATACAAACACACTTGCAATTTAGTGTAAATTGCTCATCACCCAGACGAGGGGTACGTACTTAATGGCACTTTTGTCAGCAGACACTACCAGTAAGCGTGGCTCAACTGCCAGCAAGGCGCTATTCCTGGCCTAAACTATTTATTCATAAGAGGCTGCTAATTACATGCCTAGGCTTCCCTCGCCAATACTGTTTACTTGCTACATTCGTCAGCCTTGCTTTAAGAGTAGTATTTCATCAGAGCCAGACAAGATGGCGTGCGGCTCAGTCACAGATCTAGACAAGAAGATGGGTACAGAGTTTCTGGAGTGTCAGATCTGTCTGGACGACTTAAAGCAGCCGAAGATGCTGCCTTGTCTTCACACCTTCTGTCTGCCGTGTCTGGAGAGAGTTTTAGAAGCAGAGCCGGATGGAAAACTGTCCTGTCCGACATGTTGTCAGGACGTGCCCCTCCCCAAAGATGGCACACGAGTGTTCAAAAACAACTTCCCTGAAGAGAAGCTTCAAGAGGCCGCACAGAAACCGCTGAAGTCGGTGTCTTTCTCAACCCAAGAGCCGGAAACATCTTGCACGGCGTGTGACACTGGATCTAAGTCTACGTACTTCTGCATAGACTGTACGGACTATCTGTGTCAGGTATGTACTGACGCGCACGACCGTATGAAGATATTCCAGTCACACAGAGTCGTCACTGTGAGAGATCTTACCTCAAGTAAGGTCGCAGATGATCTGCGAACCAGGGAGACATCCAAGTGCCCTGATCACAATGAGGTGAACAAGTTCTACTGCAGCACTTGTCTCAGTGTCGTATGTCTGCACTGCGTCGTCGTACAGCACAAGGATCACGATTACTTAGAAATTCAAGAGGTAGCAGAGAAGGAAAGAGCGAAGCTTGACGAGAAACTGATTGCGGTACAGCGGCAGATTGAACAACGGGAACAGTGGTTGGAGCAAGCAAAACCACTGCAGCATGCGTGGCAGTCACAGCTTCAAAGGTGCACCGACGACATCAACGTACAAGCAGAAAGAATGGTACAAGCTGTAGCGAAGGTAAGAGAAGAGAAGATTGCCCAGCTTCAAGCCACAAGCGCTTCCAGAGAGAAACAGTTGAGTGATGCCATTGATGCTACCGAAATGGAACTCGTTGCTTCCAAGAGTTACGTAAGCTTCGCGGATAAAATGCTAGAGTACGGAAGCCCTTCGGAGCTGCTCTTAGCAACAAGGGAGTTGACAGACTGGCTGGAAGAAGGTCCTGACGAAAAATCTGCGATTGAACAAAGCAAGGGTTTGACAAGACTGCGTTTTGACTCACCAACTAATGATTTGGATGAAGCGGTGGCAACTTTGTTTGGTGCCATCAAGCAGATTCGTATCAGCCTACAACCACCCTGTACAACACAGGTAAAACAAAGTCTACAACCACCCTGTACAACACAGGTAAAGCCAAATAAGGCAGATTCCCGTAAGCATAGGAAAGCACGGCTTACCAAGGCCACTGGTACCAAGGGCGTGAACGACTTGGAATTTCGTTGTCCTCTTTCTTTAACTACCTCCATTGATGACGATATAATAGTTGTAGATAGAGACAACGAAAGACTTCAAGTTTTAAAGAAGAGTGGTGCTTTTGTGGGTACGGTGGAACTGACCTTCCAACCTCAGTCTGTAGCTGCTCTGACAAACGGTGAACTTTTAGTAACCGGAGACAAACACAACATCCAAGTTGTTGACAAACACGGGAGGCCATCACGCGTCATAAAAGTGGGCGGAGCCATCGAAAAAGAGGAACCAACCAATGGCATAACCGTGGACAGACAAGGGAGAATCATAGTGACAATCGCTTATGAAATATTCGCACTCAATCTAGAAGGCGACATAACATTCAAGTTTGGAGACAAAGACAGTTTGGGTTATGTCCTTTGGGTTACCAGTAACGGCAGTAACCAGATTGTCGTGAGTGACGAACTAAGCCATAACGTGAAAGTTTTTGATTCCTCTGGTCGTCACTTGTTTTCGTGTGTGTCGCAGGGCGAAGGGAATGGACAGTTGTGTCACCCTGTAAGTGTCATCACGGACAGCGAGGACAACATCGTCGTGGCAGACAACAAAAATAACCGCGTGTGTGTGTTCGGTAAGGACGGCGCGTTCCTTCGGCAGGTTCTGACGGCAGAAGATCATGGAATTACGGAGCCTCTCGGACTGACACTGACTCAAGAAGGTCTCCTGGTGGTTTCTGATAGAAGCTACGACAATGAGTGTATCAAGATATTCAGACTGTCGTAAACAATGCCTTATTTGTCATACTCAAACTCAACTTGAACAGCTATGGACGTCATACAGAATGTACATCATCATCATCATGGTCATAGTCATCACATATAGATACTATGCATATGATAAGAATTATAGTATAATAGAACCTATATAATATATCAGTAGGGATGTCACACTAAAAATAGGGGGGTGCCAAGGATTATTAAAAATGATTCCATGTTATAGAGTAGATTTTTCCGGTCAGAATGCTTCATTTCGCATAAAAATTGGAACAAGTTGAGATTTTCTAGAATTTTTCAAAGTTTATGATTTTGACGTTTTCATTGGAAGATGCTTAAGTATTGGTCCTATGGGAATAGGCTAATTAGTCATGGCACCAAAAGAGACCATAAATCAACGATATCTGACATACATTTTATTGTATCTCTTAAAGTTTTCATGCTACAATCTTCAAATTTTCAGCATCTTAGGATCAAACAATTTGCCACAAAGGTCTTTAATTTCATCTTTTTACATACAAAAGTTTACATATTTTTTCCTAATTTGGCTAATAATTACATAATTACATAATTACATCATTTTTACAGGTAACGAGGTTCCCAGGTAAGATACAAATTGTGAACAGAGCTCTATACTAACAAGGTATTTTTGTGGTCCTAAATTCCCTTTAGAAGTAAACAAAGCATTTTAATGAGGATGATTAAATACCAAAATATGCAAATGAGCCTAATTACCAACATTTATATACATATATTATATACATACATGTCACTTTTCTTTTATATAATAAAAATGTCATAGTAACCTGTTGACATATTAGCAAACTGTAATATTCAAACTAATATTCAATATTCATTTCTTGATTAACTAACAATTATTTCAATTAACAATATGCTAATTAGCCTTTTACAATACATGTATACTTATTACTCTTTTAAATTGCATTTTCACACTAACTACTTTAGTGCATGTATTTATGGATGTTACAATTACAGCTAAATTACTTGATAAAGATAAAATGGTATTTTACAATCTTTATCCGCATTTTTTATCCACTTCACTCTCGTGTCTTCTCTGAGTCCAGTCTTGTTGACAAAGTTAAACAACTCCAAAACTGGCCCGTTTGTGAATCTGTCATGCTCAACTTGACAGCTGCCAGTTTCATGTGCAGTAAGACTCAATCCTGCATTTCTGCACAGCTCTCCTGCATATGTCTCTTCTTCATCCACTAAAATAAAATAAAATATGGGTAGTCAGTATTAGGTAATTAGTATCTAGTCTCTTTGTGTACTTTCATATACATGTACAGCCATATATAAATAGCCAATGGAAAAAGAAAACAGAAAACTAAGAAAACGAACAAGAAAAGAATAGAAGAGGAAAGCACCACTGAACATGAAGACGACCAATTGGAAAAAAGCAACAAGAGAGAAGAGAGAATGCACAGGAGGAAGAAGACAATCACATGGGACCATCTTCTGACAAGAGTGAGTGGAGTAATAGATTCAACAACAACAACAATAGCCATTCAAAATGTTCAGGATGATTCACTTTTCTTTGTTGAATTAAGATTTTAAAAAATGAAATCAACCATGCAACTGGCAAATATAAAAAAATAGTGAAGTTACTAGATTTGGCCTTGGTATCTGACATCAGAAACCAGAAATTTGATATTTTTTCTTCAAAGCTGGATCAGTAAACAAAAAAAAATATCTACATCAGGGGCTGGGTAAATATTGATCACGATGGACAAAACATAACACTTTACGACAATCTCATGATCCGGCTAAAGTTTTTTTTCGTCCAAAATATGCCACATTGTCGTAAATTAAAAGTGTAACACACTTACGCTTAAAATATATTACTAAAGAGCAGCGGAAATTATGATTATAGGTTGAATTAAACCGACAACGTTCGCGATCTCACGCCCCCCTCCCCTCACGGCCCGGCCGCGCGCATTGCACGCACCATTTTTCCGGCGGCCGGGAAAAACTAACAAAATGTTTCGCTAAACCCACAGCTTAAACTCGCCTCAAATGAAACAAAAACTACACCAACATAACCACAAGGTGTTTATATTTGTTGCTATGGGCGGACAAAATTGTTAAATTCAAGAAAAATAACAAAATTTTTCACATACTTTTTGGACGCTTCACATCTCGACTCATACCTCCCGCCAGCGATGACGTATCAACTTTGTCCCACCGCCGTCGTGAACCCTGAACTCTGCCCTTTCACATCAAATCATTCCCAGAGTTCTACAAGCCCGAGCGGTTTGTGGCTTTTGAGTGGAAGAAGACGTCTCCGCCCGGCGGCTTCAAAATAGCGTGCCGCGTTCGCGGCGTCCGAACGGGGCTGATTTTCGGCTGTATTTTCAACTTTGCTGATTTTTAGCTCCTTTATTGATCCATATTTTCAACTAAAAATACAATGACACGATAGCTGACATCATATTCATTGTTGATAACGATTTTTATTGGCATAATACAAACGGTTGATTTTTAACGATAGTTTAAAAATATTTACTGCCTCGCGCGCCCCCGCGTTCCAATGCCCGAGCGGGAAAGTTTGACATGCCTAATATCAGACTGGCGCAAACATTGCCTTTTATTCGTTAAACTCTATACTAGCTAGTGATTGTAAATACAGACACAATTTTTATAGACTAGCTGAGCCTGAACATATATGGTTTGAAATACCCAATCAATAGCAGATATGTTCCATTTCTTTGTTTGCTTACAAGTTTCTAGCTATAGTAACTGTATAACAAATACTCACGGGCAACTCCCTTCTTGGTGGTCCTTCGTCGTCGAAGATGACTCTTAGTGTCCTCTCGTTGAGGGGTGTGACCTCATGTGGCTTCTGAGTCCGAACTGTGCAAATCATCTGTTACATATAATTACATGTGGAAATTAAATCCAATTAAAAGTAAATCAAATCCAATTAAACATGAGGAAATTAAATCGCATACAAAAATCTCCCGTCTGTTTTTGTGCGAGTCCCTGTTATCAAACCCCCCTGCTTTCTATAGCCTCTACCAGGCTTCGGAAGGCGAAAGAGCTACTTAGAAATTCAACTTGAAATTGGCCAAATACCTGCATACCATCTTCGGGTTGGTAGGCTTTTGGTCTGTGGGTCCCGATCTTCTTGCACTAGAGATGTACATGATAGTGAAACTGAAAGATAACATAGGCTGGGGGTAAACTTAGCCGCGGCGACTGTTGCAGGGCTTCTCTTGCTTGCAGTCTTTTACATTAGGCCATGTTGATTTGATTATATGGATGACATCCGCGCGCGCATGAATTTTCGGCCGTTTAAAAAAAAAAAGTTTTCAACCATACTGTAAATCGTACAAAACAGTTGCAAAATGAGCAAAAATATACCGTTAGTTACAAAAAAAACCATACCAATGTCGTAGAATGCCAAAATCAAACGAAAAAAGACGAAATTGTAAAGAAATGAACTTGAAGACTAGATTATTCGCCAAACCATATTCTGTCCCATTTGTTCAACCCTCATGACCACATAGATTTCATAATGAAAACTAACTTTTTTTTTGCAAAACTTTTTTTTTATTCGCACGCGCGCATCAATTTTGGGGTTCCCGAATGATGTCATCCATATAATCAAATCAACATGGCCTTAGCCCTAACAACAGTCGCGGAGCGGTGCATTGGGCCAAATGAACAAACATGCGTTTTACCGTGCCGGAACACTTTGAGACCGAAGTTTGCACGTCCCTAGATTCCTAACAGCCTCACCTAACGTGCCGGGGTGTTTTGTGCGTCAACCGGCCCCTGCGCGACTCGTACCGCCACTATTTGCGATCGCTCCCCATGTATTCATAAGCCGAGTGGCCGCCATCTTGGTCGGCAGCCCGCTGAATCAGCTACTAGCAAATGTGCCACTACTTTTCTGATATATAGGAATAGCTTGTCAGAAAAGTAGCGGCTAGTTTGCAGGCGGCTGATTGCAATCAAAATGGCGGCCACTCGGCTTAGAATACATGGGGAGCGATCGCAGGGGCCGGTTGACGCGAAACTGTACTCTCTATCTGACCAACTCCCCAGGCATGTTATCTCTCTGTCTTATTTGGCCAATTTCTACTCTTCCAGTCGCCTCCCGAAGCCTGGTAGAGGCTCGCGTTCTGCGTTCATCTTTATCTTTCTAGTTTGAAACTTTGCGGGAAAAAGGACCAGTCAGAAGCGCCGACTTGCGGATTTTTCTAAAACTCCCACACTTCCCGGTTCAAAGGTTATCCCAACCACGCATGTGCGAAGAGGCCTCTTCAAACTTTCCAGATCGCCAACTTGGCTTGTTGTCACACATTTCTGTACCTCCCTGTCCCGATTTTGACGCAGGACTCAAGTCTACAGCATGCAGGCGAACGAATGGGCGGCGAAACTCCGGCGGTTCGATGCCTACCCCAAAACTCTGGACGATTTCCGCGTCAAAACCTTCGGCGGAGCTGCCGGTAAGTACCGGCTGGTGCCCCCCTCCCCACTGCCAAATTGGCACCTGTTTAATAAAAATAAAGACAGGTCTAAAGCTTCTACAAGAAAGCCCCTGCCAGTTTCTTGTCTTAAGGGGATGGAATGAAAGTTTTTAGTTAGATGAGTACAGTAGATATTTTTGACTGGCCATGTGCTGTGTCTGAAATTATGTAGTATTTATTTACTATAATTTTAAAGCACAGATAAGCTGATAGATAATAAGGATGTACACACACGGAACTACAGTGTAGATCGATATATCAACAATATATGGTTCCGTTTGTGATTATGGTAACTTTGATACACGTGTTATATGTGACCAGAAAGCTGACCAGAAAGAAAAAAAATATTATTGAAAAAAAAAAATTATGTTTGTCCTTTCAACGTAATTTCGGTCTCATTTCCTCATAATATAATGCCCTACAGACAAAGTGATACATTTTGTAGAGGGTACAGTAATGCGGCTTCACTACGGCTTGCAATTTAACCAAGCGCACTGGGTCTTAGTATGGTGTGTGTTGCACAGATTATAATGATATGTTTCCTTGTTCTTACAGTGACCATCATCAGTGGTTTCTTCATGATTCTCCTGTTTGTGTCAGAGCTGCAGTACTACCTGACTCTAGAGGTGGGAAGAACATGCTTATTTCTAACTATCACCAGTGTTGTGTAGGTAACATGTTTGTAAGTACGTAAAAGCAGGGCTCGAAATACTTTTTCTGCATATCTGTACCAGTACCAGTTCAGGTAACATTGAAAATTACCTGCACTAGATAAATTTTACCAGCAACACTCAGACTCTGCAAAGCATGGATCACAGTAAATACTGTTCAAAAACCATTGCTAAATATTACTTCTTTTACATTTCATTTATAAAGTTGTTTACAGTGATTATACAGCAAATAACAATCCACATACATGAATAAAAAAACCAAGACATGGCCTAGTGCATGTAGACATCAGAAATATCAGTACAACTCCTATTACATTTTGTACCTGCACTAAGTTACCTGCATTTTTATAAGTGAGTGAAATTAGGATAATGCTTAGGAACACAGCAAAGACAATTGTTCTCATGATTCTTTTGAACCTTTGCCTACAGGTAACAGAGGAGTTGTTTGTTGACACCTCGCGAGGGGAGAAGATGAGGATCAACATCGACATCATGTTTCCTAAAGTACCTTGTGCATGTAAGTAACAGGTGTAAAGAATTGACAAAAATATATTGCATTTCTATTTACTAGTATACTGAATACATCTAAGACTCTTTTCTCACACCAGCAATAGTAGACTTTGTAATGTTTTTTTTAGGACAGTTTGTAGATCAGTCATATAAAATTTGGCTGTCTTAAACTATCTAAGAGAAGAGGCTGTTGTAGGGTTTGACTGTACCTGAACCTGTGCCTTCTCTCTGCAGACCTGAGTATAGATGCCATGGACATCGCAGGTGAACAGCAGATAGACGTGGACCACAATCTGTTCAAGAGGAGGATGGACCTGCAGGGAAATGTACTGGATGAACCGGAGAAAGAAGGTCAAGAGATTTCTGTATCATTACCATAGGTTTCTAAAAGTATGTGTAATGGCCGAGTGTTTGACTCAGAACCAAGACTTAGGCAAGAGGTCATGGGTTCGAATCCTACCAGTTGGCACCATCAGGCATAATGAATGCTTCAAACCAGAACTACAGACAAGGCAGACTCACCGGTAGCTGTATAATTTGTTCTTCTGTTTCAAAGTGATTTTAAAGATAGGAGCAAAGTACTAACTAAGAAATAGATTATATTGTCTGATTTGTTTGTTTTCTGTTTCAGACTTAGGAGACCCATCAGATGAGTTTATTCAGGTAAGAACAACATTAAATACATGTATGACCAATTCCTCTGCACACATTTTACCTACTACATATTACTGAATGAAAAAAAACATGAGGAACCATTGTTTTGCTTTTTCAGGCAATAAAAAAGCTGGAGAACAAGACAGCAGACATGTGTGAAAGCTGCTATGGAGCTGAGACTGATGACTTGAGGTAAATTTTGAAATCTTAACCCTCTGAAATGTTATTTCCTGCATTTTGAGAGGCAAATTTTGCTGGTAGACGTACCTTTATAGTTGAATGGCATGTCCTTCCATCTTTTTACACTCCTTTTTTTGTCTGTTGAAGATGATGGATTGGGCATCATTTTTGTCCCTCATGAGTAGCAAAATTCCGTCAAATGCTGGAAAGATACCTGTAGATACTGGCTAGAACATTGCCCCTAAAATTTCATTTTTTTGTGTGCTAAAATGTCACATAATAAATTGTACAACATACCATCTTTTGTAATTGGTCCAGTTGCTGTAACACCTGTGAGGATGTAAGCCTTTTGTAAGGGAAGCCTACAGGAGAAAAGGCAATATAGATATATGCAAAGATAGAGTGTAACAAGCTGTTCGATGTAATATAGCTAGCTGCTACCGCACCGTGTGCCTGCGAAGCTACTGTGTGTTACGTCGAAGGGTGGTTATACCGGCTATACTGATACAGATGGTGTTGTGTAATCTCTCTAGATGCTGTAACACCTGTGAGGATGTAAGAGAAGCCTACAGGAGAAAAGGCTGGGCCTTCAACAACCCTGACAGTATCGAGCAGTGCAGGAGGGAGGGCTGGTCCGAGAAACTCAAGCAGCAGAAAAACGAGGGCTGCCAAGTGTACGGCTACCTGGAAGTTAATAAGGTACGTGGTGATCAGATTTATGTATGTTTTTGAAGGAGCATTATGTAACATCTTGTGCCAGAAAATTATTCAGAGTATTCATGTAATTGTCATTCACTTTTCAGCAATCATCTCACATTTCTGACTTTTAGGGGGTTGTAAGATGAGAGAGGAACTTTTTAGGAAGTTGAATTTTGGAAGGTATGTCAAAGACTAAAATTTACTACTACAGCTACTGTTTTTTTTATCCTCCGGTGCAGGTAGCAGGAAACTTCCATTTTGCTCCTGGAAAAAGTTTTCAACAGCATCATGTACATGGTATGTACCACTGAGATTATAAATATTCTAAATAAAGATTGATCATTTTTGTTTGACCAGCTTGATTGCAACATTTAAGAAAATGATGCCTTTTATGTTACCTTATGCCACTCTATACAGAAAAGCAGTCATTTGATGTCTTCCTATGCTCCTCGCTCTGATATACTATTACATGTAGTAGTACATGTAGTTCCACTATCATACTGTTTTAACTAGTTGTCTCTTCCATCTCACAGTACATGATCTACAACCATTTGGTGGAGAAAAGGTGGGTATACTTTTATATACTGTACTTGAAATACTGTAAGATAGTAGTGTAGCGAAGTTGTGAATATTGGTTCTAGAGTGAATTAAATGTTGTAACAGGGACTACATTAAACTACAAAAAAAAAGATTCAGTATGTGTGATAAGGGCTTGAGCCATTTTTGACAGACATTTGTGCCCACTCCCAGTTTAACCTGAGCCACCATGTGAACCACCTGAGTTTTGGAACAGACATTCCAGGGAGGGTCAACCCACTAGACGGACATGTGATAGCAGCTAAACAAGGTAAGGTTTTAAACAACAGGGGCCTTCCTGTTACCTACTATTATATACTTGTAGTTCTCCTTGAATTGGACTAGACATTGTAAACCTAGAACTCAGTTCATACTCATAATCTGTATTGCAGTTTTGAGTGCGGCATAGGTTTGTATTTTTGGTGTAGCATTGTTATTTTGGCATTGATATCCCATGGCTAGTACATTTACACATAGAAGCTCTATTGTACATTTGACAAGGTATGTCTAAGTACATGTATTATGAAACTTTGAACAAATGAAATTTTCAATCTTTTGCATGTCTCATGTAAGAAAGGTGGTCATATTATAAACCTTACAGAACACACAAACACAAACTGAGTCACATTTAATTTACCATCAATTTATTGAGCTGGAATCATCGTACTACATTTTCCTCACATGGAAACTGGTACAGAGGTTGGTACATGTACATTCTGCAGCATAAATGTAAGGCTTTTGCTTCAAGTCCCCCACTTAACAAACTACATTGTACATGTACTATTCCCTCATTCAACAACTCATCAGTACAAAACTTCACTTAGAATACTTAGAATAGAAGTCTTTGAAGGGCTACAGGTAAGCAGTTTCAATGGGAAGTATGAGAAATACAACTTTTAAATGTGTTATCTGTATGATGATCGGAAACAAACTATGACAGCAATAGAAGACATCTTCTAATTCAAATACATGTACTGTACTCATTTTCAGCTCATAGTATTAAGCCTTTGCACTAGCTATTGTCCAATGGTTGGCCTTTATATTGTGTATCCATGTTTATTACAATCTCTGTCCTTTTTATATGAGTCACAATACACTTCAATTCAGAACCCTTTTGTACATCACTGCAGCAATTGAATAACAATGCAGTTACATTTAACTGTGGAAGATTCCACTTAATAGCAGTGCCTACAACATTACACTTTGATAGATTCTGTAAGCCATACTGTAACCCAAACTTCTTCCTTTCCTAAGACATCCCTAATATATGTTTCCTCCCTGCGATTTTTGTATGCCACTGTGAAAGATTCTAGCCTGGTATCCAGGCCTCTTGCAACTGCAGTGTCTCTTTTGTCCTCTCCTCTATTTACACAGAATAGGAAAGAGACCAGCTGCAGGCAGCTGTAATAGGTTTGGATGCCAGCCTAAAATATTCCTCTTGATAGAAGTGATCACAACTCGTTTTCCATATATTTTTATGCCATACTTTAATCCATGGTACATGTAAGACTGCTCCAGTGTGTTTTCTCACTAAATTAAGTAATGTTGCAGTGATCACGAGTCAACATTATGTTTTTTCTACATTTTTAAGCCACACTATAAACCAGACTTTACATTGGTACAAGACTGCTCCAGCGTGTTCCCCCACTGATGTTTCTCTGCAGTGATCATGAGTCAACATTATGTGTTTCTATGTTTTTAAGCCATACTATAACCCAAGAGCCCCCCTCCCCACTTCCTATCTCTAACACCTGATCCCAGTTCCGATGGACATGAAGACTCCAAATGTTCCTCCACTCTGCATCATGGTTTTGCCGACTTGTCCGATGAACTCCCGTCCTCTCAGACCCATTCTGTAAAAAACATGAGTTCTTACAATCAGATGGTGGTACAGATAATGCAGATTCATGCACAAACAAGCCAATTAAATGAAAACATACATTTACCTAGCCTGCACTGGTCTATGTACTGGGTATATGCATAGAGGTATAATACCTCCATGGCGCATTCAGGTAAAATTAGAGCTGTGCAGGTATTTCTACGGGTCTACCTGTACCTAACCTGCACTGTTCCGTGTAATGGGTTTATATACAATCTACAAATGGAGGTGTATGTGGATTTTTATTTGCTACATTCACTGTTTCCACATATGAAGACAAGTATAAATTGGCAATGGTTTCTGAACAGGTTTTAGCATGATCCATACTTCCTATATGAGTAACAGAGTAAGTGCAGGTAAAATTTATCTGTACCAGTGCAGATATGCAGAAAAAAAGGATTTTGGCCTTAAACATTGACATATATCACAAAAATATCATCTGACCTCAATGATGCGAATGTGCCAAAGAGTGCGCCAGCACTGATGCCGACTGCGAAGCCGATTCCAAAGCCCAGTTTGATCCTGTCCCAACAGCTGGGCCCCTGGCCGTACTGCTGCATGTGACTTCCTACCGACGGCATGCTGAATAATGTAGTAGTACTCGTGCTGCAAGAACTACAGAGATTTTCTGTTATATTACCTTTCTGTCATACACAACCAAACATGGTCAGACACTGCCCTAAAACAATGGTTTGTTTCTATTATTTCAGAGAAATACGTGTTTAGTTACTGATACATGTTCTTTTCAGAGTGCATATATGCTCATGCCCACCACGTGTTCAAACCATCGCTACTTGCATGCTACATGTATCTCATACCTTTGTGAGATTTTTGCAACTATCCAGTATCCTTACACAAACAAGCAAAGAGTTCAAACCTCCTTCTTGTTACAAGCGACAAGTACACATTCATATGTATACACGTGCTTCAGTGCACGTAACGTTAGTGTTGTGGGTACAAAATTATGTATCAAATTATACTATCATAACCTCTTTTGAAGGGCAGAGTTGCCATGTGCATATCACCTTTAATGAATGATAGCATTGTACTTTACAAGTCCAAATGAAACTACAAAAGCGTTTCAGGTACTCTATGTAATATATCCGACATTTATAACACTTTACAAATGATGAAAGGTCTTGCTTGTGATATGCAACCAAGCACGAAACCGAGCATGACCCCTTCCCTACCTGTATCAAGGCTCAATGACGTTGGTTGCACCGTTTCTCAGTGAGAGAATAGATCAAAACGAAGGGGCAGTGTTCTATGTATCGCTTAGCACGCCTAGAAGGGGACAAAGCTTACAAACTTCTCCAGAAACGGGCAAACAAATAATTTTTCAAGGATACGAAGTCAGTCGTGACTCAGAAGACGGCCATGTTGTGTCCCATCATACTGTGCGCCTAGGGTCAAGAGGTCAAGGCGCTTTTCTTTTTACGCGGCCATGTTGGTTTTCCCGCCCGCTATCTTTGATTTTGACAAAAATTTATTCAAATATGGACTTATATTGACACAAATTAGGTATCAAAGTGCACATTTGATTCAAAGGAGATGTCGAGAAGTTGACGAAATTAGTTTGGACTATTCAAAGGCGAAGAAAATCGCTCCACTCGGCGTAGCGGCTTGGTGGTCTAGGGGCATGATTCTCGCTTCGGGTGCGAGAGGTCCCGGGTTCGACTCCCGGTCAAGCCCATATGTTTTTACTGACCTGTATTTTCTCCCGCTTTTAGAAAATATTTTCTAGCCGAAGTGTTGGTAAATTCTACTTTTACTTGTTTTTTTTTTTTTCAAATTTCTTGCCCCAGTGCCAACAAAAATGCTGTGTGCTGAAACATATTTTTACATCCAACAGCTCCCCTATCGGTTTGGGTATGAACTGCAGTAATTACTTGAACTTGATCATTATGATACAAATGTACCACCTTTGCTTACCCATGTTGAATTGTTTGTCCTTCTAGGTTCCATGATGTATCAGTACTTTGTGAAAATAGTTCCAACCATTTACAAGAAAATTAGTGGACAGGTAAGTTGAGAACTGCTGACAATTGTGACAATTGTAACTAATGTTGTAAAATTACTGCTCACATTTATAGTCTGGGGCTTCTTGATAAGTGTGTTGGGCAGTGTTTTAACCAGTGTCCGTCATTCCTTCATTTGACAGATTTTTTCTGCTATTCATGGACAAACATTTTGCCCAATCTGTCATCTTTGATAGACAAAAATTGTCCTGTAAAGATATGGAAAGAGGTGTCATTAAAGTAAGATTACTAGTAGTCTACCAGCAAATATTTGTCCCCAAAATGCAGAAAATAGCATTTCAGAGGGTCAAGATTTCAACATTTTCTAGAGCCATTGGTGTCCAATGATGGAAAAAAATTCAGGCTGGCTGAAACACTGTTGTTCTTTTTTTTCATGTTGATAGGAAGTGAGAACGAACCAGTTTTCGGTGACGAAACATCAGAAGCAGGTAACGGCCTCATCAGGAGAACAGGGCTTGCCTGGTGTGTTTGTCCTGTACGAGCTTTCACCCATGATGGTGCAGTTCACAGAAAAACAGAGGTGAGGCATCAGTAAATAGCTTCATCAGCTGGTTATAAGGTCAATACTGACATATGATCATCCATGCTTTGTAGATAACGCACCAGCTTCTGTATATCTATAGCTGGTATACAAAATGTAACTTCCCTTAGCATAACGCGCCAGCTTCCATGTATCTGTATAGCTGGTATAACTGCCCTTATGCACCAGCTTCTGTATCTGTATAGCTGGTATGACTGCCCTTAGCATAACGCACCATCTTCTGTATTTGTATAGCTGGTATAACTGCCCTAAAGTTATAAGTACTGACTGTATATCCATTGTGAATAAGGGCCCTATGTTTACTAGTAGTATCTTTGTAGCAACTGCAATGAAGTTGCACTGAAGGTAAACTCATCTTTTGTCTGTACGGCATGCTTTTTTATCACCAAAATATTGAAAATGTTTTTTTTTTTTATCTGCAGGTCTTTTATGCACTTCCTAACTGGAGTGTGTGCCATTGTAGGTGGGGTTTTCACAGGTAAGTTAAGCCATCTTGTAATACGCTTCTCAGTATTCTTGCCAGGAATTTTGCTGCTCGTGACCGACAAAAAATTTGCCCAATCTGTCATCTTTAACAGCCAAAAATTGGCATGTAAATACATGGAAAGAGATGTCATTAAACTAAACTTAGTCTACCAGTAAAATTTGCCCCTCACAATGTAGCAAACAATGTTTCAGAGGGTCAAGGTTTCTAAAATTGTTCTTAGTGAGAATGCCCCTGAACCCCCCTTAGGATTGTTGCATCTATGGCACGATGCCTCACTCAACATGTAACATCAAATATATTTTGAATGATAGGAAAAATAGCTAGAACACTTATTCTTCTGTAGAGCCAAGTCTTTGTCACAAGCAATGATGTTTCAGATCTCTCTTTGCCTAGTTTCATTGAGAAAATAATCCATCCTATCTTCTGTTGGTTATTACCTGGCTTAAGCTGGAACTTTCAACTTCAGATCAAATTTCCGAAGTCTTTCTCTTCCCTTCACAGCGGTGCCAAGTTGTCTGGTCCTTTAGTTTGTAGACATCTCATCCATTTACTCATCTTTTCACTGGGATTACAGAGATTTTCAACTTAATGGGAATTTAACAGTAAAGAAACTCAGAGACACAGAAACTGATTTAGAAAGACATGAACTTCTTTCAGCAATGAAAGCCAAACAGTACTGGAAGCTTAACTTTGGCTACACTGCTTTAGAGGAGGACTGATGTCTGATGATAACGACTGTAAAAGATAACTCTCAGCAAATATGCCAGATATAAGTCAAGCATCATGTCTGTATACATGTATGTCTGTATCTGTATAGCCAGTATAACCGCCCTTCACCGTATCAGACCAACTTTGCAGGCGCGCGGTGCGGCGGCAGCTGGCTACTAGTATATTACACTGAATGACTTGTTACCCCTAGCCCTTGAACATCTATACGTAAACATCGTTTAAAGCTATCTAGTGAGCATGCCCCCTCTGTACTTGATTGCAGTGAGTTTCATGATAGTTCTACTTTTTTTAGGGAAAAAATGAGTTTTTAAACACCTCAATCCTTGGTTGATAACTCCGGTACTTGAAGGCATGTGTATGTATGTGTGTTCATACGTGTGTTTCCATACTACATTTTCCATGCTGCCATGGCAGTCAAGGAAACAGTGCTCTATTTGTTTATTGTCCAAAGAAGTTGATGCTGTTCAATCTTCAAGACCTACAGATAGAATGTACTTTCTAGTAGTTCCTAAGACTTTAATGTTATTCTTTTATCCTTCTATCCTACATATGTTACTCATTATGATTTACATATACATAGTACATGTACACTGTATCATTATACTCTGATGTATACATTAGCCCCATGGGCATGAACATGCAAATAAAGATTCTGTTGTTGTTTGTTGTTTTACAGTTGCTGGGCTGATAGACTCCCTCATCTACCACTCAGCCAGGGCAATCCAGCAGAAAATAGACCTGGGGAAGGCATCATGATGAAACACCCATGTGATACCATTTTAAAACCAAATAAACATTATGCTTTAAGTGTAGCCTGGGACCCAGCCTTGTTGAGCTTCTGCCTGCTCCAATTGTTACTACCACAGTAACAGTAGGAGCAGACAAGGCTGGATGTCAGGCTACAGAACAGTATGTGATCAACCCATAGATGTCCCCAAAATCGTTGTTTTAAAATTTACAGCAAATTTACTTGGCAATGTCTTTACAACACACTGGAGTTTACATCAAAGAAGGTTAGACATTCAAACAGAACAGTACATGATACAAAATCAATCAATCAACTGAGTAAATTCTCTAGAAGAGTTAGATGATGTTGCAGACATTTTTCTCTATATTTTATCTGCCACTGATGTTATCTTTCAAAACTTCTGTTATCTGAAACATCTAACTCTTTACAGAATTGATCCAGTTGCTTGACTTATTTTGTATCACATGCTGAGGTTTGTTCAGGTTTGAAATTTTCAGTTCAGTTCTGGTTTAAAATACAGTTCAGTTCTGGTTTGAAATAGTTTCAGATTTTCATGTCCTATTACAAGCCTTCATATGCTGTCATTTTCAACAACATACAATGTACTAGTAGTGTGGAAGGAAGCTAAGAATTCCCAAGAAATGAATTCCCAAGAAAGTCATCTGTCTTGGCTTTCGTCAAAAAGTCTGTGCCTTACAACATCCATCACCAAATAATATCTTTTATTTACAGAGTGATTTGTCTTTAGATGAATGCAAATTACTTTTATGTGATGAAAAATCAGTACCAGTTCTCAAATGTGTTCGATACTTGCGACAAACTCTGACAAATGTATTTTGAATATCTTCGCAACATGATAGACTGTACATAATGTTTCATCATTTCCAGTGGAAGTGTGAATATGTCAGACAACATTTGGCCCATAGGATGTAAATAACAAGTAGAGTTAGTTGGATGTGCATTCAGCAAGCTACAGTCAAACCTGCTCAAGCAACCATCTCCATAAGCAGGCGTTCTGGCCATGACAACCGCAGCCCTAATTTTCGGACTTGCGTGAGCTGGCGCGACCACTTGTCCAAAGCGACCGCGACCCGCACTATTTGCGACCGCAAATAGACTAATATCTGCCTATGCATTGTTGTCAAACGTGTGGCAGAAAATGCTTCTTTGAGAATAACTTGCAAGAATCAGTTTGCCATTGCACCATATAAAATGGCGCCAACTGGTTCACCATTGGTGGAAATTTTCTGCGGTTTTCTTGTTCTCCATCCTACCATGTCACCATGCTTTTTGCGTAAGAAGACCACTTTTTTCTCAGTTCCCTTGGTGGTCTTTTTAGACAAGTTTGACTACAATAATATGTGTTGAATTTTTTTTAAGGACATATCTTGCCATTTTCAAACCAAAAAAATTATATGTATCTGTATTTCAACTGAACTATGTGAAAGGTATATACTGTGTGTGGAATGTTTTGAGGGGTTAAGGTATTGAGCTGAACATTTTTCTTTTGGTGGCGGTGCAAACATGTATCCTGGTCTTGGAAACATTGTTACATTTTTGAGCTGTTAGAATACATGAAAACTATAATCATTATGGTAATGTGCCAAATAACACTTAAATGAAACATTGGTTAAATGGATGTGTGGCAATACTTTAAAGGAGAGTACTGACTGTGAATCATGACGTATTCCCAAGATAGAATTTTTATGATTTTGGAATCGCCAGCAATTCGCTTTTGTTGGTACTGTTGTTTCTACTAGGAACACGAAAATGCGACAAAATTTGTATGTTCACTGCAGCGCAAAATTCAGGTGCCATTAATGAACTTAGAGTTATACCAACCCAATACCCAATGTTCTCTTGTGAGCATTCTGTCAGCTTGCATCCTGGAATAATTTTGAATGATTTTTATGCTCATAGAGAAACAGTTTTACCAAAGTGGGTATGTGTAGATATTTATGGTTTCAAAGCAAATATTTCAATCAATTTAGGGCTATAACTATAAATCATTAGAGATAATATAAATCAGTTCTATTGTACAATGTATGTTAAAATTCAACAAATAGCAGTGAACTGAAAGACAACTCAAGAATGAATTTTATTGTCCAAAGTTGTCTGAGGTCTACATGGGGTAAAAAGGTTATGACATAATTAAGAATGGGTGAGGTAATTGATATGTTCTATTTTTAAGGTGTTCAGTGCATATGAGGCAGTTTTTGTATTGAATACCATCAACTGAAACTCATTCTTTTCGCAAAGGATTTTTGATCTTTTCCTATTTCTCTTCCTCTTGGGCTGTATATACCATCGCTACCAGCACCATTTCTTAGCATTGTGTACATGTATGTGCAATTTGTAGTGAATCATAGTGCAATTTGTGAGATGTTTATTTCGTTTTAGTGCACTTCAATAAATGTCTTAAAATTATTGTGATTTCATTTTCATGCACCGGTACCTCTTGAAGTTATATTATTAAGTTATATTAGGGGAAAATTGCATCATAAGTTCTGTTTCATGTAAATTCCATAATACTAGAAACTAGTCCCTGTACATTACTTATTATTATTATTATTATTATTATTACTTCGATTGTGACCTCAGTCTACAGTTTCTACCAGATCGGAGTCTCTAACCCTGACATAGCCACACACACACACACACACACACACACACACACACATACACACATATACATACATACACACACACACATACATACATACATATATACAAACACACACACACATGCACACACATATATATATTATACATACACTACACACACACACATACATACATACACACACAAACTTACACACACACACAGTTACATATACACACACACATAGAGAGAGTGCGAGAGAGACAGATGTATATAGTGCGGCCAACTCAATACAGTACTCCTTTCCAATTCTGTCTACGTTCTTACACTGCGCATATTGGGACAATCGGATTAACAAAGCAAAAAAAAAATGCAGCGTAAGACACTGCCGAAATGAGACATAAGAATTCAGTCCACTTCAATATTGATTAAAGCATTCAGTTGATCCCAGTGTGATGAGACTCATAAAACTTTGATGATGTCTTGATGAAGGAACAAGGCAAATATTTCCCCTGGTGTCAGACTAACATACTCTGTGGGAGGAACACAGTCATTATCATATCTAAACAGAGTTTTTCAGGGCGTAGGTCTTCTGTGATTGAACACACTAGAGCTTGAAATATTTATTACGGGTCAGTGGCAACAGTACTTTTATGGTTGTGCTCAGGGGAAACATTTTATTAGCTGCATAACAAAGAAGGTATTGTTTTTAGTATGTATGCCCGTGTGTGTGTGTGTCTATGTTTGCGCATGGATCGTAGGTCAGGTTGTATTGGGTATCGTTCGATTTAAACTGTCCCAGAGAAAGAAAGTCATTAATCACATCTACATCTGGTAGCGCTCACTGCTCAAGTGTTTTTTCGATACATGACCTCCTTGACAGTTGGTGTTGTTTGGCTAAGGTTACCAGAATTATGGCTCCTTGTCACAATTCCACAATAATTCTTCAGAATAAGCTTTGTTCCTGAAGCCATCTACTTGCAACCTACATATATCATACTTACAAATATTAATTCAATTCCCGTCAAAATTGGATATTTTGACGGTCATTAATATTGAGGTTTTCAAAATCATATCCAGTTGCTTGAGTAACTGCTTTTTGGCGTATCGCATTACCTGGATATCTAACCTTCATCGACGTATTAATTCAATTCGTTCAATCTTTTTTGAAATGGTTATTTCCTCCGGAATTAGAGTGTTTTGCCCGGAATCATACGTACTGGGACATGTTAAAATAAGCCTCAAGATACGTCGAGCCAGACCCTACATCTGCTTGGAAATTGGATATTTTGACGGCCATTAATATTGAGGTTAATTTAGTTTCTCCCATGTAGAAAACGCTGGATGCCCATTTTGGGATTTGCAATACGCTTCTAACTCGTTAACAGAAGTGTGTCAACACTCATTAACTGGCCTCCTGCCAACAGAGGACTTTGCACACTACAATCACTGCTCTTACTTTAGTACCGTAACGAATCCATGGGGTATTGCAAATCAATGCTGATCTACTTCAAAGTTCTTTGCATATCTCCTGTGTGTCACATTCAATACTACTGGAATATTGACGACGTGAATCCTATTGTACGTGTCAAGCCCCTGTCACACAGTCAGAACCTTCAGTAGTCGTTAGAAACTTTATTTTATTTATTCACATAGATTTGAGAGCAATGTGCTTATAAGGATCCTTTGCTCATAAAACATAAAGTTGTGCATAGTAACGAATACAAAACGTAGGGTGACATAAAATGAAAATGGCTGGCACACCAATAGCACCTATAACTTTAATGTAGTTAATAAAATCTTCCAGAGAATGAAATGAAGTTGAATACAATATCGAAGATATAGCAATTTGTAGAGTATGGGGGGGGGGGTTGGAGGGAAAAACTTTATTTCTGTTTATATGTGAAAACGAAACTGTGTCAGATAGAACGATGTATTCAAAGAACGATATATTCAAATCTTTCAACACGATGAAGACATTAGATGTAACCATACTAGTAATATTATAAGAGCTAGCGCTGTGATAGTTTTGAATTAAGATGAACAACCGACATAGAAAACCTCAAGAAATTCATTGACAAAACAATGTGAGCTACATGTACATTTTTCCATGGCTTTGTAAATACTTGTCACAATATGAAGTGTTCTATTAAATTGTCCTCTTGTTTTTTTTTAAATATCTAAATTTTGGAAAGAATCCATATACGTGAACATATACATCCGCATCACTAGAATATTCCAGCTACAAAATTCATACACACGGATTACTAAAGGTTTAGTGATGTGCAATTGCGACATTGACATTAAACCTAGGAATAAAGATACATTACTTGCTCCAGTTGTGCTTGGAGGAATCGTTTTTCACGGTTGTCGATAAATACAAGTACAGCCATTCGTTGTAATAACTGTCACTGCTATATCCCAATGTTGACATAATTTCTGGATACTCCATAGGCTGGCCACGATCTATTTGTCTGAAAATAAGTAGTAATTTTACAAAATACACATAGATGTGGCAATCCGTTTAGATATATCCTGGATAGATGTTCCTTGGTGTTATACCATATCTTTTGTTATATATACATATACATGAATAGTGATAAACCTTTGATAATAGACATGATACGTTCATGGCGAATATGCCAAACGTGACATCGTTTTATCACGCTCATACTGGTAGATATAGTCACGATTCTTTGTCTCGATTATTGTATAATTCATATTGAAGTGAGCCATGACATTGGCCAGTTTTTCCCAGCCAATTTTCTGTCTATGACCATTGAAGTGTCCTCTGGGTCCCCTAGGCCTCATCCATATGTACAGTAAGCCACGTCGTCATAAATCTCAACGTCAGTCCCATTTTTCATGAGCTCCAGGGAGTGTACTCCTAATCCTCGGCAGCCTTAAACACCTATGTACGAGACACCCCTACATGTATGTTCCGATGCCCCGTGTATATGTGTTCCGACACCCTGTTCTGACAACCCAACCTGTTTTTCTTTTAGATCATTACCCTTACGTACCGAACCCTTTGTCGGAATATATGGGCGTCGGACCATAGCTATAGGGGCGTCAGAACGTAGATGTTTCGAAACAAAGGGAAGTCAAAACATAGGGGCGTCAGAACGTAGAGGTGTTGGGACATAGAGGTTTTGAAACATAGGGTCGTTGGAACATAACATACCGCTTGTATAGGGGCATAGAAACACATATGGGCGTCGTTACTTGATGGTGTTGGAACATAGGCCTGGGGTGCTGGAACATATATGTAGGGGCATTGGAACATAGGGGTGCTGGAACATATATGTAGGGGCATTGGAACATGGGGGTGCTGGAACATATATGTAGGGGCATTGGAACATAGGGGTGCTGGAACATATATGTAGGGGCATTGGAACATAGGGGTGCTGGAACATATATGTAGGGGCATTGGAACATAGGGGTGCTGGAACATATATGTAGGGGCATTGGAACATAGGGGTGCTGGAACATATATGTAGGGGCATTGGAACATAGGGGTGCTGGAACACATATGAAGGGGCATTGGAACATAGGGGTGCTGGAACATATATGTAGGGGCATTGGAACATAGGGGTGTCCCCTTCTTCTCCGTTAGCCCATCCACTCAGATTTGCCGAAGATGACCCTGAAGGGTTGGACGAGTTTCTTCCAGGACCGCCAGAACCTCCTGGCCCAGTGGTAGTGTGGACTGACTACCGTCAGCTCCAGGTGGTCACACCGCTCCTGGATTCTCCGCACAACCTGAAATACACGTTAAAGGTGTCCAATACAGTTTAAGGGTTGACAATGTGTCACTGTGTTTCTGTACTTGTATTATTTGGATACAAAAACTTGGGTTGTCTCCGGCTTTCAAGGTTTGTCTATGCCATTCATTTTGAAGGCCCGGAGGAAGCCAAATGTTGGTTGTAAGAGGTTGTAAGAATGATAATACTATCAGATAATAATACTAATATCAGATATTTGATCTTTTTGTATTTGAAGTTAGATAAAGTCAGATAAGCACACAGAACTAACCTCTTCCCTAGACAGGCCTCCAACATTCTGTCCGTCTATAGTCAAGATCAGGTCACCTCGTTTCAAACCGCTTTCCTAAAAAATATTATTATCAAATTATCAACATGATATGATAAAAAGTATATCTGCATTGCGATTTGCTTATTTTTCCTGTCAGCGATATTCCCGAGCAGCCTTCGTCAAAAAGCGTAAAGGTAGTCCCATGGCCTTTATATATATATATATATGTATATGTATAAGTCGCGTAAAGTGCCTTTTTAAGGACACGACGTTTAGCTAAGAATGCCATGACCTCTGAAATCCATGACCTCTTGGTCTTCTGTCCCCTAAACTTGCCACTCGGCCATTCGACACCACAAGTGCAACGCCATTTGTAACCCATTTTCCAATTAATGGGTCATTTAGTTCCCACTACTCCCTTGCTTGTGTGTGGTGATTGAAACTGACATTTGCAAGACCCATGCTGAAAATTACTTTGTAAGAGGTCCGGTCAGTCACAATGACAAACAATTGACTTGAAGGTCAACAAGCTCTTAACCATATCTCACCATGGTACTCCATTGCTAGTGTAGATTGATTAGAACTGAAATTACTAAGAGTGTAAAGTAGTTTGTAAGGGGTCCAGTCAGTCACAATGACAAACAACTGACTTGAAGGTCAACAAGCTCTTAACCACATCTCACCACGTACTGCCTTGCTTGTGCAAAGTGATTAAATCTAACATTACCAAGATCCATGCTGAGTGAAAAGTAGTTTGTAAGATCTCAAGATGTCCAGTCAGTCACAATGAAAATAAGCTCTTAACCATATCTCACCATTGTACTCCATTGCTAGTGTAGATTGATTAAAACTGAAATTACTAAGAGTGAAAAGTAGGTTGTAAGAGGTCCAGTCAGTCACAATGACAAACAACTGACTTGAAGGTCAACAAGCTGTTAACCATATATCTCACCACAGAACTCCCTTACTAGTGGGAGGTAATTGGGAATCTGAAATTACCAAGATCCACGCTGAGTAAACAGTAGTTTGTAACAGGTCCAGTCACTCACAATAACAACTGACTTAAAAGTCAATACGCTCTTAACCATAACTCACCATGGTACTCCATTGCTAGTGTAGATTGATTAAAACTGAAATTACTAAGAGTGTAAAGTAAGTTTGTAAGAGGTCCAGTCAGTCACAATGACAAACAACTGACTTGAAGGCCAACAAGCTCTTAACCATACCTCACAACGTACTCCCTTGCTTGTGCAAAGTGATTAAATCTAACATTACCAAGGTCCATGCTGAGTGAAAAGTAGTTTGTAAGATCTTAAGAGGTGTAGTTAGTCACAATGACAAACAACTAAGTTGAAGGCCAACAAGCTCTTAACCATACCTCACCACAGAACTCCCTTACAAGTGCGAGGTAATCGGGAATCTGAAATTACCAAGATCCACGCTGAGTAAATGTAGTTTGTAATGGGTCCAGTCAGTCACATTGACGAACAACTGACTTGAAGGTCAACAAGCTCTTAACCATATCTCACCACAGAACTCCCTTGCTAGTATACAATGATTGAAACTGACATTACTAAGATCCATGCTAAGTAAATGTAGTTTGTAATAGGTCCAGTCAGTCACAGTGACAAACAACTGACTTGAAGGTCGACAGGCTCTTAACCATATCTCACCACGTACTGCCTTACTTGTGCAAAGTCTATCATTACCAAGATCCATGCTGAGTGAAAGTAGTTTGTAAGATCTTAAGAGGTCCAGTCAGTCACAATGACAAACAACTGACTTGAAGGCCAACAAGCTCTTAAAACCATACCTCACCACAGAACTCCCTTACAAGTGCGAGGTAATTGGGAATCTGAAATTACCAAGATCCACGCCGAGTAGACAGTAGTTTGTAATAGGTCCAGTCAGTCACATTGACGAACAACTGACTTGAGGTCGACAGGCTCTTAACAATATCTCACCACCGTACTCCCTTGCTAGTATACAATGATTGAAACTGACATTACTAAGATCCATGCTAAGTAAATGTTGTTTGTAATAGGTCCAGTCAGTCACAGTGACAAACAACTGACTTGAAGGTCGATAGGCTCTTAACAATATCTCACCACCGTACTCCATTGCCAGTATACAATGATTGAAACTGACATTACTAAGATCCATGCTAAGTAAATGTTGTTTGTAATAGGTCCAGTCAGTCACAGTGACAAACAACTGACTTGAAGGTCGATAGGCTCTTAACCATATCTCACCACAGTACTCCTTTGCCAGTATACAATGATTGAAACTGACATAATTAACATAAGAGTAAAAAGTAGGTTGTGAGAGGTCCAGTTAGTCACAATGACAAACAACTCACCACGGCATTCCCTTGCTAGTATAGAATGATTGAAACCGACATTATTAACTTAAGAGTGAAAAGTGGGTTGTAAGAGGTCCAGTCACAATGACAAACAACTGAGTTGAAGGTCAACGGGCGCTTAACCATATTTCACCAACGGGAACGAGAAGGCAGATCGATAGATGGTCTACTCCATGTTCCATGGGATATTTGTATTAACCGACCTTTCAAACCTCATGAGAGTCTTTAGTTGGTCTTCATCCCGGACAAGCAATCTAACTCCGGTGATAACCTATCCACAAACTGTCATTGAGTCATGAAAATTTCATCTCTAAATGCGGCTTTATATCTTCTCTTACTTATGTGTCTGGTGTGCCATTAGTGTTAAAGAAGAAATGTGCCCTCATACATTAAAAGATGTATTAGTCATTGCTTTTGAGCCATGTAGATCAAATATATTGGCTTATATAGTCTTACCGCTATATATTTCTTACCACTTTGAGGATTGTATGTCTAAAGCCACACATACCCCTAACTGGTGTGTAACTTGTGTGGTATTTCTTAAATGCAAATTGAGAAATATACCATCATGGTGGTTGAATGACCTGAAAACACCTTTGGGCATTACGTTTGAGCTATGTGGATCAAATATATCGGCTTGTACTCTTACCGTCATATATTTCTTACCGCTTTGAGGGTTGTATGTGTTAAGCCGTAATACCCCACATAATAAGTATTCCTTAAATGCAAAGGAAGAAGTGTACCAGTAAAGGAGGTAAATCACTTGAAAACGCCCATATTAGCCATTGCTTTTGAGCTATGTGGATCAAATATGTCGGTTTTTACTATATATCTTACCGCTTTGTGAGCTATGTGCCTGAAGCCTTAGTAGCACACATAATAAGTATTTCTTACATGCAAAGGAATAAATGTACCACTAAAGGAGGCAAATCACTTGAAAAGTCCTATTAGTCATTGCTTTTGAGCCATGTGGACCAAATATATCGGTTTGTACTCTTACCGCTATATATATCTTACCGCTTTGAGGGTTGTATGTCTTAAGCCTAACTACCCCCAATAAGTATTTCTTAAATATTTTTAGGTATTTCCTGCAAAGGAAGAATTGTACCAGTAAAGGAGGTAAATCACTAGAAAAGTCCTATTAGCCATTGCTTTTGAGCTATGTGGATCAAATATGTCGGTTTGTACTCTAACCGCTATATATATGTTACCGCTTTGCGAGCTATATGGCTGAAGCCTTACTGTCCCACATAATAAGTATTTCTTACATGCAAAGGAAGAAATGTACCAGTAAAGGAGGTAAATCACTTGAAAAGTCCTATTAGTCATTGCTTTTGAGCTATGTGGATCAGATATATCGGCTTGTAGTCTTACCGCTATATATATCTTACCGCTTTGGAGGTTGTATGTCTTGAGCTTTACTACTCCACATAATAAGTATTTCTTACATGCAAAGGAAGAAATGTACCAGTAAAGGAGGTAAATCACTTGAAAAGTCATATTAGCCATTGCTTCTGAGCTATGTAGATTGAATATATCGGCTTGTAGTCTTACCGCTGCATATTTCTTACCGCTTTGAGGGTTGTATGTCTAAAGACGTATGGGCCATCCAAAGGAGGGGCATAAATATGCCTGTAGCAGGAAGTCATTACACGTGATGTATGGTAGATAAACTATGTTTACGGGTCTCACTACACCGTCGGTAAAAGGATAACAGTAACTGCAGCACTTCTTCAAAGATTGAAATGATATACATTTGACGAGAATGACTAGAAGGCAATGAATTTTATTGTTCTTATGAGGAATGTGATAGGAACATTTCATTGAATATCTTAAAGTGAAGCATTATTTTACAGTTCCTTGTGTATTTCGTATTTATCAGGCTAAAACTGGCACATATCCCTAGATCCCTCGCAATCAACTGTCAAAATCATGCTTACCTCCCACCCACCATTCACCCGAAACTATTAGGGCAAGCAAAGGCATAATTCCACAACTCGGCCACCCAAACAGCCCATTCTTTACGCACACCTTAAAGCATGCGGCTTTACGGAGTGTTTAAGATATAGGAATTCGTGCAGTGGCCCGAAGTGATTATTAGTCAATATGACCATGCCACTGAGATTCACATCAATCGCTAAGATCTTTACGCACACCGTAAAGCAAGCGTAAAGGTCCCGTTTCTTCACTTGCGTGTCTTTACGGAGTGTTTAAGATATAGGATTTCGTGCAGTGGCCTGAAGTGATTATGACCATACCATTGAGATTCACATCAATCGCTCTGGATCTTTACGCACACCGTAAACCAAGCGTAAATATACCGTTTCTCCATTCGTGCTGTCTTTACGGAGTGTTTAAGATATAGGGTTTCGTGCAGTGGCCTGAAAAGATTATGACCCTACCCCTGAGATTCACATCAATCGCTCCAGATCTTTACGCATACCGTACAGCAAGCGTAAATGTCCCGTTTCTTCACTGACCTTTACGAGGTGCTTAAATATAGGATTTCGTGCAGTGGCTTGTGGTAATTATGACCATACCCCTGAGATTCACATCAATCGCTCTAGATCTGTTCCGTAATCAATTTTCTTTCGCCATGCTGTATCCGCTTCCGATGGAAGTCATTACCTGGTGATCCAGGGAGGCGCCAGATGGTTATTGACAATCCTCTGCCCGGGGAGAACTCTGTAACTCCCCACTGTCCGAGTCAGACCTCGGATAATCCATCTCCATCAAACAGCGTTCAGCGTAGCGCCTGTCAAACAGTACTGCACAGAAGCTATTCTTTATGCATTAAAGGGGCATTCTGTATCTGTATAACCGGTATAACCGCCCTTCGGCGTAACGCACCAGCTTCACAGGCACGCGGTGCGGCGGCAGCTGGCTAGATTACACTAAACGACTGTTACACCTATCCCTTCAACATCAAAGTCTAAACATTGTTGGAAGCTATCTTATGATGATTCCCCTACTGTACTTGGTGACAGCGAGTTCCACTCTGCGATAGCTCTAGGAAAGAATGAGTAACATTATGTAACATTTTATGCATAAAAATTGATCTTTTATTAATTAAGAAAGAAATATTAATGTGATTTGAATTTACTTCCACTTGTTATCATATTTGTGCAATTATCCCCTTCTTTTCATGGTTGACATTTATGTTAAATGTCAACCATAAACATGAGATATGTTATGTTATGATATTTATGCTAAAACAGCCCACATGAGGCACACCAGAAACTACCAGAATGTAAACAAACATAGCTGACATGCTATTTTAAAGTTTTTACACGCACAAGCTGAAGGTGTCATATTTTGTTACCTCCACTTCCTGAATGTAGTAAAGTAGGCTTGATTCAACTTACTTTGTAAAGAAATGACCAAAAATTTACCTGTTGTATGATCCTAATATAATGCTACATAATGCAGCTTTAAAGTATGCGTAAAGGTTCCGTTTCTTCACTCACGTGTGCCTTTACGTACGCAGACTTCAAGGTATGCTAAACATATGGTTTCTTGCAGTGCGCATTCTCTACTGTGCTTGAATTAAAGAGTGGTAACATTATTATTCCCCGTCATGCTAGTTCTGTTTGATAGATCAAAGAGTAAAATTTAACGACATATCAATTGGCATGTCATAATACCTGCATTAGACATTAAGTCAGCATATAGGAAAGTGCATAGCTTTTAGAAATCCCGAAATCCCTGAGAAGGCTACGACTGTATATAATTTATCTCTAATACACATGTATGACAAAACCAATTTTATACAACGAAGCAATGATACGTTAGATACCATAAGGTGACAATAAGGGCTGCCAAATGTGATTTGGTGTAATATATCTTATTTCTGGCCATAATGAGTGGTTTATATGCGTAAAGAGGGGAAATTTACCATGAAATACATTGACTTCACGGTTTGCACACTAAAATGCAGTTTTCCGTGATACTGAATTGTGACACCTATACACAGTTCAAATCCGTAATACAAATATTCTTATTAATATTCCAGAAAAATTATAACTCCTATCACCATCAAAAAATGTCCAAAGTGTAGCCAAGTCAGTGAAGGTTAGATATCTATAAAGGTGAAATACAATTAATTGCGCCGGGATAAAGTCTCTCTATAGTATATATAGCTAAATTTCAGATAGCCACCAATCATCTGAAAGATAGTGGATGCTATCTGCAACGCCTGGCTCTATATAGACTTAACCGAGCTATTTGAGTCGTTTTTTATTACGCTGTTGCTATAGTAAGGTGCATTGAATTAAACTATAGCGGACGTCAGTCAAAATATCAGTCTGATGAAATATTGTGAATGCCATCAGAAACGTAAATTATTTTATACTAGCTACATTGACTTTCAAACCAAACTGTATAACGGACGTTATAAGCTATGACGTCCCCCGTCTGAACCCATGCCTCCTGACAATAGGGTCGTTAGTCTCACCCTAATGGAATAACGAAGAGACTCGTTCTTTAAGCGGAGAATGCTTTGGGCCGGGATGACCTTCTCGATTAGGCTTATGAAAAGAATGCTGTGTTTCCTATTTCATTCCCGGAAAAATAGGGTCGGTTGGTATGTAAGGATTTTATTTTTTTTTTAGATTTGAATTAATTTTTTTAGACATTAGATTCTGTTTTTTTATCTAGATGTGCACATCTACGCTCTCTAAAGAACCCCAAAATGCATGGGAGCTTGCGAATAAAAAAAGGAAGGGCCATGCGGAAAAAAGGAAAAGTTGCCTTTTTTATGAAATCTGCGTGATCATGAAGGTTAAACAAATGACTAACAAAGACACAGGGTATGGTATGGCGAATAATAGACTCGTCAAATTCATTTCTTCGCCTTGTCTTCTTTTCCTTTGGCAATCTACGACATTGGTATCGTTTTCCAATATATATTCATTCTGCAATTAAGGGCATATATTTTCTCATTGTTATGTTCAACTGATTTGTACAATTTACAGTTTGATTGAAAACTTTTTATCAGTTGGAAACGGACGAACATCCATACGGCCGCGGATGTCATCCACATAATCAAATCAACATAGCCTTTGTGACGAATCGATGCATTTAGAACATTCATGCTGATCCCAAGCAATAACTGGGGTCGGCGGGATACGGGAGGGTATTAAGGTCGTAACTTCTGGGGCGGTTATTCCGCTCGTTTGTTTCTCTGTATGACCTCGCACAGCACCGGTGATACTTAGGAGTGCTTACGTAGAGGATCCGTAGACTAGGGATCAGTAGTTGTGGGTTACTGCGGTTTTTTTCTTGAACTGTATTTACCTCCATGAAACATGGAGGTATTTTTTTTGTATGCCATCTGTGTGTGTGTGTGTGTGTGTGTGTGTCCGTGTTTGTGTGTGTCTATTTTATAATGGATATGGTTGGGTTTAGTCTGTTTCAGTCCGGCAGTTTTTACTAGATTTGTGAATACCACGACGTGATATATCTTTCCAACTTTCCAGAGATATCATTGTCCAATCAGTCGCAGCTGTTATGATCATTTTAAGACATCCTATATTTAAGAACACCTTAAAGCCTGCACAAAGACAGTCGCGAGTGAAAATGGAGGCCTTTACGCATGCTTTACGGTGTACAAAAATAAATAATTCTGTACAGTGGATGTATAGCGAATGTGTCGGTTTTGACGGTGTAAATCAAGTGTGTAACTAGATATTTACGATTTATGACTAGTTCCTGTTCCAAACGAGACACTAACGTATGAGGTGCCTGCACTACTGTATCCATCCTCAGACGTATGAGGTGCCTGCACTACTGTATCCATCCTCAGACGTATGAGGTGCCTGCACTACTGTATCCATCCTCAGACGTATGAGGTGCCTGCACTACTGTATCCATCCTCAGACGTATGAGGTGCCTGCACTACTGTATCCATCCTCAGACGTATGAGGTGCCTGCACTACTGTATCCATCCTCAGACGTATGAGGTGCCTGCACTACTGTATCCATCCTCAGCCCCCCTATGCCTCTTTCCATTCCTCACGGGCCCCTGTCAGAGTTACGCGACCTCGAAAGCCTGACTTTTGCCTTCCTAAGCTGAATTAATGGGCATGGGGCGATCAATCCATTACACTTACGGAGGCAACAAGGTCGGCTAAAAGTCCGCCCGCCTCTTAGGCCACGACATTTTAGATACTGGGTTCTCGCATTCGCCGCTTCATTTATTTTCTCATACATGAAGTCATTATCATGAGAAAGATGAGTTTACTATTCTAGATATGGTATAGTCAATTGGTAAATTTTGAAACAAAAGGATGAAGAGAGTTCTTGTAGTCCAGATAGCTACAGTTTTTCTTAGTATATATCAATGGTTATTGATTGATTGATTGATCTGATTGATTGATTGATTGATTGAAACTCATTGTTTGCAACTCATTGTTTCAGACTTTGCTAGCCTGCTTTGTTGACTTTGTGTGATTTTTGTAGAATATTATTATTTTTTCATTTGTATTTCTTCCACCATTCCGCCATTTTCTTTGCAAGATCCGAGAACCAAAAAACTACATTTTTTGTCGTGGCCTTATCATTAGATGTGTGCCCTTTACTTAAGTCCCTAGTGCAGTTTTAATAATGCTAGCTCTTCGCACTGCCTCATCGTCAGTGACACTCGTGATAAAGATATACATGAGATAGTTGTCTATTGATCTGGCACACTACACGTATAGCCTTTCTTCCAGTAAAAGTGTATGTGATAATATAAGGCGGCGGTCGATACAGCGGAGAAGTCCTAAGGGAGCATAGTTCGTGGAAATGTTAGCTACTGCACCGACCCAACTATATGCAAAATTCTAGGTCCCTGTCCCCCAGGATTTGGAAGCTATTAGCCCTACCTATACAGAATGACACAAGAATGACTTACAGCTGGGAACACACGATACGCTGTCATTTCGTTATAATCCCTGGGGTCTGTCGGTGTGCCCAAAATTACTTTCATTGCACTTTCAAGTCCAAGTAACTATTGTGTATGACTTCTATAACAATTTCCTCGTTTGAGACTGTACTCTTGACCATACTAGGTCGGACAAGGCATCATCCATTTTTCAGTTTGATAGTGAGGGCAGAAATTGTTTTCCATTATACCTTTTTAAGACTAAAGGCCACCAGGGTTCACGTCCTGCCCAAGGTGAGGAAACGTTGGCAGTCAGTCCTGCTGATATAATGATTATATATATATATATGTATATATATATATATGTATATATATATATATATATATATATATATATATATATATATCCGTAAATTGAGGGTATTTTTGGTATGTGTGCGTGTGGTTCTGCATGGGCCTTAGGTCAGGTTGTAATGAACAAGGTTGCAATTGGATTCAGTCCCAGAATTAGAAAGTCATTAATCATGTCTACATATCTGGCAGCGCTGCTGTCAGTTTTTACATGACCTCCTTGACAGCTCACAGTTGGTGTTGGTGTACCAAATCTCCCTGGGACAGACTGAAACCTACCATATCTATTATTACCTGACCTAAGGGCCATGCCGAAACACAGACACACACACGGACGCACACAAACCAATACCAAAACAATACCTTCGATTTTCATGGAAGTAATGGCAATGAAGTACCTTAGCGTTCTTGCTGTAGAGCTCCTCGACATGATGGATGCCCTTCTCGCTGTGAATGGAGATGCCGTAGACTGGGATCTCACCCATCGTCTCGGGGAGCCTGGGAAAAACAAACAGAACGTCAGAAGGCAACCATGAATAGAGTACATCAGAAGTTGTGATCGTGAAGATTGTCAATCACCAACTCAAAGCTGCATTATGTAGTATTAGGACTATACAGAAAGTCATAAAAAGTTTCTGATCATTTCTTCAGTCTTAAATCAAGTCTTTCATCAAGTTTGCATCCGTTAGCGCGCGCTATTTATCTTAAGGTGTTTTTGTTACATGACCTCCTTGACAGATGACAGCTGGTGTTGTTTCCCTTGCATAATAACTGACAAAGACGCTATCATTTGAGTTCTGCTATGATACACATCACACCAACCTGTACAATAGATGTGGTTTTATGGTAACGCTTTTCGGTTCTGCGAAAGGGTGCATTTTCTGTAGAGTGCCTCCAAGAGAATTGTCTTCAAAATCCTGTGGGAAAGAATATACCTTCAGATGTCTTTTTGTTAACTTAATGCTAATGCATAACCAATGATAGTTGTCCATGGAATGCTGACTGTTCATGAAATGTAAATGGTACGTGATGCATACTTTAGGTAATGATGATCTTCTAGGGCCAAGTATGGTCCAACTTAGTTTGATGCACATAGATAGATAGATAGACAGATACTTACTCCGACATTTGTGGTCTTTGGACCTCTGGGTGCGAGACTGCGTTCCACATGGGCGTTCTGAGCATGCGCAAGACAAAAATTGATATGACAATACTGTTAGTCAGTATATAAGCGACTGATCTTTGTACAAGTCAATTAAGTTTATTGATTGATGTTAGCCGGAATATACAATAATAGTATTCGTTTTTATTTCACCAGTAAAAATGAGGGTGTATGATGATGTGCTGATGTAGACTTACCTCTGCTCTTGGTTGCTGTAGTAACCATCCGGGTGACGCCCTGACAACCATTCTCAAGTCGTTCTTTTGACGCTGTATTAGAGCTATGACGTCATCATGACTAAGTGCACGCACATCACTTCCGTTAATAGACAATATGACGTCACCCTCCCTGAGACCGCTTTCCTGGAAGAAGTTTATTTAGAACCAATTGTGAAATTAAAAAAGAAGTGGGTTCACTTTCCATAAGATAATTTCATCAGGTTTGTAGAACATGGGATATAGGGATTTTCTTTTACACTCAACCGTGTTTCTAACTCGCTTATGTTTTACACCTATCATTTACCTGTACAACACCTTCTTCAGAGCTTCTAGCTGCTTCTCGCCGCTATATAATATGAAACTGATGTAGGTGGCGCTTTTGCGGCGAGAACACAATCCCATACATGGCTACGTTTGTATCCCCCCTCGTCCAGGTTCCTCACTGGGCCTTATAGCAACCATCGCTTATGGCCTTATAGCTTAGGGTGTACTTTCTTATACAGACCGGGGGGATGCAAACTTTGCCACGTTTGGGATAATGTGTTCTCACCGCAAAAGCGCCACCTACATCAGTTTCATATTATATAGCGGCAAGAAGCCCCGAGGAAGATACTTACATGCGTCGAAACGTAAGCAGGTGAAAATTACCGACTGTGTATTAAAAGAGGAAATCCTTATAATCCGGATTTCCTTTCTTGTGCCGAGGAGTGATAAGGTTCTAGAATGCCATCACAGCTTCTTGTGTTGAACGTCCCTTGGCGTCAGCCTGAAGACTCTTTGGCATCTCAGACTATCGATTGGTAAATTTACTGCTGTTTTGCACAAGGTCGCTGTTATCCTAATGGTTAATACAGTCTGTTGGGAGGGGCCATTTGGGGAATTACTAATAACTTTCAAATTCCAGGTTGGCACTCGGAAAAGGCTCTTAGTGGTTGGAAAATGCTACTTTACATTTTCGTTAAATAATTTTCACGCCATCGCCATTAAGTTTGAAAAAAAAATCCGGTCACAAGTTTAGTTAGATTTAAGGACTGTGCTTCAATGTTGTAAATAAGCAAGTTGTGAAAGCTCATGATCAATTCCGTAAATTTCGTAAGAAAACAAGGCATATATATATTTTTAGTCATAATCTTCACTCTTGGCTTACTGGTTCTTTCCTTTGCTTTCAAGCAGAATTCGTTCATTAATTACCCTTAGTGTTTGAATAAACGCTATCCATACCTAAGAAACAGCTTACTACTGCTACACACATTTACGAGCTCTTACGTGATAGCCTACAAAGTAGGGGTTGACCATAACCCTATCAAGTACAACCACTGGACAAAATTGGCTCCACAACGCTCGAGGTATTTTTATCCCCTACAATTGGCTCCAAATGACTATTATAAAATCAAATTCAGATAGCTGTAGGCGATTGGTTGCTGGGTCACTAAAGGCGTTGGATTGTCCTCATTGAGCACGATTCATATTAGTCACGCCACCTCTAGATAGGATAGGCACGATAGAGATATAGCAGTGGTGGACTGGTTTATTTCACAAACCCTAAGGTGATAGTAGCATGTCTGCTGCCCTATTGCTGAATTGCACCGCTTTTACAAAATACGTTACAATGTGTGTTACATACTGGTTAAAATACATGTTATGCTACAGATTGATTAATATACACACTTGGTAAATGCGTAAATAATTCTGATATAATTCTTTCAAGACAATCTTAATGTTATAAAACAAGAAAGCAGACTTGTAAAAGAGAAAGTGGATCATTACTATTTTAAATGGAAAGGAGACACTAACTGTGGGGCCTATGAAAAAACTAAAGGTCAGAGGGTAGAGATGTTGTTATTTTTTTCAGTTCTTTTGGGATTAACTAAGGCTAGAATGATCCGACTTCTTACCCTGACATGCGTGGACATGATCTTGACGACCACATGTTGTTCCAACAGGTTCCGTTTGGATTCTATAGTGAAGTTGTAGATGGGCAGGTAGAACTTGTCCGTTGGGGACCTGTGGTATAGAGAATGGGTAGGTCTGTGTCATTATAAACATCATATTCCTGATCCATGCAATTGAAGATCATGGACATCGTCGTTGGGACATCAGTTATGATTTGGAGTTGTCATTGAAAACTGGGACATGCAAGTTGTAGTTAACGATGACCGGATTTTTTTGTTTCAATAACCAGCAAGAGAAATAGCTTAAGAAATAAAGTTAAGCATCTTAGCAGCACGTGTCATTCACTGCACAAAATCCATTCTATACGCACACCTTAAAGCACGCGTAAATGACCTGTTTCTTTACTCGCTCGTGCCTTTATGAAGACGTGCTTAGATATAAGATTCCATGCAGTTAAAGTTGTGTGAATAGCTAAAACTTTTACTAGTCCCCAAACTCGCACTTTTACTAAGCACCGTAGGGTCTACTCCCCGAGTCATTATGGCAGTCCATATTGCCCCACAGGAAAGCACATCCTCTCTATGGGGCTGTATTTGCGCCTTGCTGAGCACATAAACCTCCTAATTTACAGCACTGATTGATGTTGCAGATATCCCTAATGCGGCACAGGTTCTGCTGCACTCTGCCAAAAAGGCCCAGAGATACTCTTCATCTAAAAGCCTGTTTGTTAATCTCATAGCTAATTACTTTAAAGATGTCCAATGGAACTTCAGGGCGGCAAACATGGACCTTCAAGTCATCAGTGACAGTCAAAGTTGAATCAATCCTATCCCGTATACTGATATCTGTGAGGCAAAAATGCAATGTCGCCGACGGAAAACGGTTGCTTGTTTTGTATCCTAGACTGGTTCTATTAAAAATAGGAGACTCCTCACGTAGCCTGTTTTGAGGTTCTTTCAAACACTTCAAGTATATAAAAAAACGATGACAAAAAAGTGGTAAGAAATGACCGTCAATGTCAATATCAGACGATTTTCGTCATCCAAATTGCATTATCTTTGAATGGTATATATTAGTCTGTTTAGCCCACTGCCTCTTTTCAGACTCTGAGTTGACTTCAGTGGCCACTGGCTTAGTATAGTCCGAATCCTATAAGGTTTGAAAGGTTCTTGTGCCTTTTAGCTTTGTTCTTGATATTTTTCCACAAGATGAATGTGCAAATTAAGAGTAAGAAACAACATATGTTGCTTTGGTTGTTCGTTTTGTTGGTGCACACCACATAGATCTAACGACATGAAATTACACCATATACCTTGTGAAAGTAATTAAGACATTTTGATTATCACTTTGATTAAAGAAATTAAATGAAAATCAAACAGTATAAAAGCAAATTCTCATTACTACAGCTACAAAGAGTATATGGATTGTAAAATGTATTGCCCTATTACACGAGTCAGTAAAACTTTATTGATAAAAACGTATCATTTAATCTCGTAAAAGGTCGACTGCATATTTCACAGGCTCACTTTTATGCTTTAACAGCTGCTCGGCTATAAAGTGCCAGCTTTATTTGCTGCTGCACTTTAGAACTTAACGATGCATAGTAGCAATGCTTTTGACCCAGATATGTGCAATTAAAGGTGCCATTTCTATGGGATACGTTTATACAGTTGATGGTCTTATTCTATAGACAATAGACAATGGTAGTCTTAAATAATATTTTGCAGATATGAGACGGGCAAAACATTTGGAGACGTATCTACAGTTTTCATACAGAAGACAGAATGATTATGATAACTACATTGTTGTCTAGTGTTTTTATTTTGTGTATACTATCTACTATAAGGCACTGGCAAACAATACAAATGCAGGCACAGGTTTTTAAAAAGTCATGTTGGGCCTTTTGGTATATGATGTTATGTTGCATTTGAATAGCATTGATACATAGGCATGGATGTATACATCGGTGAATGTGTTTAGTTCTCTTCTTAAACATGCTTCTATAACCATTCGGTATTTAAGCTGAATGGAATACAAATGCAGATCTGTTTCCAACTGGACGATTTGCTGATATTGATCGAATTTCTGTCGGGGCAGGCATCTACGACAGCTTCGGATTTATCCTCTGTTTGATCCACGATTGAAATAGATCATACTTACCTGTGGCTTGCAGGATCCACATGGATTATCTGCACCTGAACATACTGACATTTATGATCTTAAGTAACAACACGATCTGCATTGAAGCTATGTTCTATTACAGTGTGCATGCACCTTAAATTAATATAAAGTCTTTCTTTAAAGGCAGCATACTGCAACATGGATTGACAGTCTGGAATAAACTGACTGCTGAGCAAAGACAATGCAGTACATTAACAGAATTCAAATGTAGACTGGCAGCCAAAATAAAAATGATTTATTTTAGCTACCTATCTTTATAAGCTATCCAGATACGTAATTATGTACAAGTATGTTGAAAAGTAGAAGTAAATTATGATCACACGTAGATTTTTTCCTTTTAGATATTTTAATTTTTGGTGGAAGAAATATTACAAAATGCCTCTTTAATCTTTATATTAACCTAAAAGAGATACAAATAAATCGGTGAACAGCCCGGTAATATCACTGAGATGCTGCTGCGTTGCCAGTGTGTAATAAATATTGATGGTTGATATAATGCTGTCTGTAGTCCATAGCACGAGGTTTCAATACTTAATCCGTGAGTCATGTGCCACTGTGTGTGACCTTGCCAAGTTTACAGTACGTGTCAGTTCCGCTGGGATTTAGAACGTCCCCGTGACCTTCATGTTACGAGTCACTTTTGGCAAAGTCAGCAAAACTAACTTTTTTTTCTCGGGTACGATTTTGTTGGAGTAAAAGGAGAGTGTCATTACCTCCATGAAAAATTGGAGGTATTGTGTTTGGTATGGCTTTGTGTGTGTGTCTGTGTTTCCGCATGGCCCTTGCATTAGATTGTACTGGATCTGTTTAGGTTTTCTGTGCCAGAGTGGGAAAGTTATTAATCGCATCTAAATCATTAGAGCTGGCTGTTTTTGGTTACATGACCTCCTTGACAGCTAACAGTGGGTGTTATTTTGAATGAGAAGAGGGCACAGTCACCATCACAGGAGATCTAAATATTTCATGGAGGTCTGCGTTCTCCAAATTCTTGTCTAGTAATGTATAATATGATTTTGCAGAGTGGTTCGTGGTGTTTAAACTTACCCTGACGGTTAATTAGACATCCTATCACGCCTGTTGGTAGTTCCGACGTCCGCGAAGGACGTATATTGTTTTGTAATGTCTGCATAATATCCAAGCACATTATCAAATTTTGCAAGACTGTGTCAAATTGGCAGAGTATCCAATACGCCACGGTAGGATAAAATTCCAATAAAAACGCCAAAAATAAGCTAAATCCTAAACTTCTACTTTGAGAGTATGTCTGCATACTTTGGACATCATAACTTAAGAATCTGTGAAGGTGAATGTAACACAGTTATGTATAAAATTTATCTGCATACTTTGCCCATCATAAATCAATGACTTATGGACGGATTGTAGTGATATCTAGAATGTGAGTAGGCCTCGTTGCGTTATGTAATTAATGGACTGTATAGAGGTGAAACATTCGGGTGATGGACATAGCCCACTTCGATGGATTGCTGCAGCTTAATAGGTGTTGTAATAGGTAAAGGTACATATCACGACATTAAAAACGTTCTGCAAGCCAATACGCTGCGTGACAAACCACCGGAAAATCGATGCCGACGGAAACTGATAACATTCGTTACTGCTTTTAGACCGAATGGAAGTGTGGCGCTGTTTGCAGCAAAGTTTTATGTGTTTTTGTCTCAGTCACCTATAAAAAAGATAGATAACAGATGCAACGTTGATTGTCAACCTTGTCTTGACTTTGTCTAACTTTTGTTTCCTATGTGACTTTAAAAATGTGTTCGCTTATTTTCATATCAATCAATAGTTCGTGCCTATTATACCTTTTTAAGATTTCCCCAGTGTCGCTGACGAAAAGTATAGCATGACGTCTGACCGTTTCCAAAATCATATTTATTGCAGTTGCTTGGGTAACTGTTTATTGGTGTATCTTATTACCTGGATGTCTAACCTTCATCGACGTTGGATATCATATTCTGCTGGTATGGGCGGACTGTGTGTATCATGTCTCAAGCGACGACATAAAGATAAAAGTAGTGTGATCAGTGATGTAGTTAGTGCTTCTTTTAAGGCTAACTTCTATCCCGTTTAATTTCCATTTGCAGTCCTTATTGAGTCGTGTCTATAGGGGCTAATGAACTAATTACAGACTAATTAACCAGCCTCCTCAATTCATCATTTCCGTGACAACGGTTCGTTTACCAAAGAATCTGGCCCTATCTTCATTTTAAGTCTCAATGATTCTCATTAATGATATATTGTCGAGGTTGCTTGCTAGTTTTAGTGTTTGTGATGATGAAGACTTATATATGCTCCTAGATACACTTTTAACTGCCAAGATCATGTGTGTAACATAGGAAAACTATATTATAATTCTAAAATGCTTACTTTTGCCATTGCTTCAATTCAAAACAAGAGACATTATTACAAGGGAGCACATTTAGAATATTAGAAGTCAGATGGCTTTGGTAATGTTTCTTACGTATGCCCAAGCTAATTTGTGGCAAAATATCCCTTCGCGTGTTAAGTATTGTTTTAATGTGTAAAATATCTAATGACTGTATCTGATACATGTACCTAACGTTTTCACCATTTAAGTAGGAATTAAATTTATAACTTCAAAAATCTTTTAACTCCGATCTTCAGAGTTTCTGTTTAACTAATTTAGTTTGACCAGTCCTTAGAACAGTAGAAGCAGGCTAGGTTTCTTCATCTGTATAGCATGCCTCATTGCCTATATATACCAATAGCTAGAACGAATTTTCAGAACCCATTAACAGTAATAGTGGCGTGCCCGTGCGTATTTCTAAATTATGGCACGTTGCTCATCTAGGTTAGCTGCACTATATCAATCAGGTGAACCCAAAGGACCCTAATTTTTCACAGCGATATGTTATTGGTGCGGCAATGCCTCACTGTTTCACTATGGAAATTTCCTATAAGACCATGTTGATTTGATTATATGGATGACATACTCTTGGAACCCCAAAACCTATGCGAGCGTGCGAATAATAAAAAAAAGGTTTGGCAAAAGCTGCCTTTATTATGACATCTAGGTTGTACAAATGACTAAACATACAGAGTATGGTATAGCGAATAATAAAATCTTCATTTCCATTTCTTCATATTTTCCTTTGGAATTGATTTTGGCATTCTACGCCATAAGTATCGTTTTGAAATATTGTCCTTTTCAATTTACGGCATATATGTGCTCATTGTTCAGCTGCTTTGTACGATTAACAGTATGGTCAAAAACCTTTTTTGGAACTGACGAAAATTCATACGCGCGCGGATGTTGTCCATATAATCAAATCAACATGGCCTAATGCAGAAATCCCATGCTAATATGCAGTGGCTAATACAGTATTGATGTCTACACCGATATGCAACGATATTTCATTCCTCGGGGAACTTTCACGCTGAAAGCTTCATTCCTAGACTATATGGAACAAGGTTCCTTGTGAAAGCTTCCTTAATGGGTAAAACCTTAAACTTTTCAGGTCTAAGGTAAACAGACATCTATGAACTGTTTGAATTTCATGTCTTATACAATCTGCAAATTTCCAACAAAATGTGTAGCTCCACATCAAGTAGATATGTCCAAGCCATACTGGTTTTGCCCAAAGCGTACAGGTATTGAAATATTAATGTAATAAGCACTTCTAAATTTTGCCACCTCCAGATACCCTGTGGGCCTTCAAAGGCACACTTTTTCTAGACAAATTTGGTATTTATATATTCAGAAGTGACAACTGTACAACACTGCAGCGTGGCCTCTAGTACAACTATTATAGCAAGATTTTTTAAATTAATATCTTCACACAAATGACAACTTAATACTGAAAACCTTCATCACAAAGGCCCCAAGTCCTTTGTATATATGTAGATATGTGTGATACTAACATCACTAATTTCCACTTGTCCTATTCTTGCACTTGTCCACATCTACCCCTACCCTACCCTTTGTTTGCACACAGTTACTAACTTTGCGCATCTGCTAGTAATCCTTTATATTGAGGGCTAAGCAGTAAGGAAGAAGAAGAAGGCCACACTGCTATGTTCCACCAAAAGGTTCCTACCTTACGACGAGTTTCCTGTCCTCCGGCGTGAGGCATATCCTCCGCGGCTGTTCTATCCTGCAGATGGAGGGTGATGTGCACCGTGTAGGAGACAGGAGCGGTGATTTCTTTAGTCGGAACCGGTCCTCTACTGTGATCTGTGGGGAACAAGGCAGAGACTCTGCTGCTACATCCACAGGATAAAGCCGGAGTAACTCCATTCTTGCAAACCTTCATGAAACTCCCTTTGCTGCCTGTAATCTTGGGGCTTTTATCCTCATTCCTCCTTTACAAGAAGTGATGATTTTTGACGTCCTTTTGTGGCACTTATCCTTATTTCTCATCGACAAGAATTGGTGATTTTTGCCGTCCTTTTGTGGCCCATATCCTCATTCCTCTTCAACAAAGCTGATAATTTTTGGCGTCCTTTTGTGGTTCTTATCCCTCATTCCTCGTCACAAAATACATTTCATACAGGGTACAACTGAGATCATGACCAATGAACCAGGAAAACAAGTTCAGGCAACGTAATTGCCCTTGGGAAGTCTATCCGAAGGATCACGCGCGCCATAATTGAACTAAGGAGCTTGGTAAGATCTTAAAACTGATTAGCTGCAAAGTGCCAGACGTGACTAAAGGCTGAGATTTCCTCAACGACTTTTTAAGGTAACGTCCAGCAGAACTAGTGGGGTGCAGTCAGCGCATAATGGTCCAATATCACCCATCGAATTTCCCGAGCCCTATCGTGAACTCCTTCCACACCAATGTCTCAATAAGCACGCCCTAGGCCCAGTGAGGCACCAAAAACACAGGTCCACTCACGAACATGGTAATACCGACCCCTCAGGCTCAGGCGATCTTTTATTGAAGCGTTGCCCCTGGCAACAGGTCGTTTGGAGATGCCCACACCTTCTATTTTCCCAGAACGCCGAAGGTAATTACTGGTATCTCGGATGGACATAGTAAGACCCGCCCAGGGCATGACACCAAATATGTTGAAGGTTAGAATACTGCGATTTAGTTCTTCTGACCGACCAAAGAACACGTTGTCTGGAAGACTTGTGTAATTGTGCATTATCTTAACTTTTTGCAGCAAAAATTGAAATATTTTATATAAGAAATATTCGTCTTAAAACAAATGTAAAGCTCTGCAATAACACAATATCACTCATGAATAAACTTCTGATGCAAGAAAAGGGATGTTACACATGACTGGATCAACTTTCAATTCATAAAAAAAACTTCATAAACGCATTAAAATGATAATTTTAGTTTCATTCATTACCTTCTAATTAGAAGACACTGATTTTATGCATGTTCTTGCAAAACCGTAGCGCCACTGGGGAACCATACATCAAACACCACCGGCCCAGTCGGTTCTATCAATAGTCTTCCAATATCTCCTACCTACATTGTCATCCATCTATATCTCATACATGGATGTCCACAATCTCACAAAACGGGACCGTTAGAAAAAAAATCCAAACGTCAACAATTCCCTCATAATTGGTAAGTTATATAAGTGAATATCATATTCATATCATAAACAATCTCTTACTCAGGCACACAGTACCTTGCGAACTCTGCTTCCCTTTAAGTCACATCCCACATTTATCCTTGAGGTATACAACCAACCCACCGTTTACGATGCTTGAAAATGCGGACCCTCTGGTAAAACATTGAGCGATCGCGCTTGTCTAAAGAGGCGAAGTGAAATCGTAGATCTGAGATTGTGTAAGGAGACAGCCCTTAGCTGATGTATTACCTACCATTTTGCTGAGAGATATCCTGGACGTGTTTGCTCCACTGTCATGGCACAGTTGTTACATGTGCGCGCGTCTTCACTGATAACACTATCCGGTACGTAAACGAGCGCTTCAGCTCCTGCATCTCATACAGTACATATTCCCGCTGATGATTTAGTGTGCTTATGCATGGCAACCCCTTCGGGGAGCACAAAACGTAAGCAAGCTCGTGGAAACTGAGCTAGTTTCTATAGTTCAAAGGCAGAGAGCACGTAAAATACGGCCCACCGGTGGAAATTGGTCGAAATTGGAAATAAATTGGTAAATCGATGCCGCGAGCATTTGGGTCATTGTCGAGCGGTGACTGCTTGTACGACAAGCGAAAAATTGCATAATATCATGAAAACAACTAATGGCTTAAAAGCTAGAAGAGGAGAGGCTACAAACACTTGTCAATTGCATCAGGAGTTGCTAGAAGCTATTAAATTTTATTTTGATATAACGTTCCACTGTCAAACATTATAAACCTATAAAGTCGTGTTTTGGTGGCTTTTGTATGTGTATGCAGTTTTGCACGATAACACAAGAAGCTGTGGAAGGGTCGTCATAAAACTTTGTGGATGAATGGTTAGGTCTTGATGAGACCTCGAAATGATTAGACTTTGGGCTCCGTGTGCCTACGTAGCGGCTTGTAATGGTACTGAAACGGAACTTCCGGTTTTTTTTATATCTCGTGATCTGGATATGCTAGGGTCCCGAATTTTGGATAGTAAATAGCCTATTGAGCTTGAGAAAAGAGTCATGTTACTTTCTCTATTTACCTAGGAAAACTCTTTCCAAATATAAACCGATAAAGATATAAAAGGATGTTTTTTCCAAGCTTATGGTACAATGTATTTATTGACATCTATAATACTAGTATGTAATCAAAACTTGTCTGTTGAAATAATGAAATGAGGACATGGCAACGATTGCGCAAAAACGGCAACTGGTATTTTACTTGACAATGAGAGTATGTCAAATTGAGATACTGCTTCCTGTGCATTAAATATTCGTTTACGTTGTGCATTATACACTTAGTATCATTTTTCAGGCTATAGCTGACAAATGTTGCTCGTTTCACATGTGAACACGAATCTGGCTGTACAATAACTCATGGGAACGAAGATGGGCCTCAGGTACAGTCGGTAGAAATACTTACACCACCTAGTGGTCGAATAAGGAATTACAGTAACTACGTCTATAACAACGTAGGTCAACCTGTAAGCCTACAAATACCTGCTTTGAGAAAAAAAATGTTTATGTTCGCAGAAGAAAAATATGTTGTTTTCTTAGTTTCTCCAAACACATAAGGTCAATGACCATCTGAGCCATGATAACTGGCCATGGTACTGTAGCAGCCATCGTGTGGTGCTTGCTTACACTATGTAGCAAGATGAGCTTGTTCGGATATACATATACTAATGTATGAATATGTTTTGATAAGAATAAACAAAGCAGTAGTAGTATGTTAGACTAAACCATTTGAAGGCAAACATTATTCACTTTCTTTTTTCTAATGCACATTCTTTACAAAAGTTACCTTTCTACTTTTGAAATTCTGACAAAATAAAGCAATGATGATTAGAGTCCCAACTTTCTGTTTACTGTATACGCAACATGATACCTTACTAGGTTCTATGTTTTTTTTCTAGGAAATACTGTAACTATCTTTCACAGATTATTTCACAGATCCAATTATTTGCAAAGAAACTTAACAGATAATGTTATAATCTATTCGAACAGACGAAACGCAGAAATTACTCGTCTCTAGGCTAGGCCTTATTCCTTGCTTTTTTGTATTTTTACCTTCCATGGCAAACATCCAAGAATTTACAATGTGAAAAAAAATCTCTCTTCACTTGTTGCCTTTTCAAATTTTCAAATGACGACAAGATTCTGCTAGTTTGGAACCTTGCAAAGAAACGGATAGTTCATGTTGCAGACGAAATTATTCCACTTTCCTTTCTTATTTCTTGGGCCAATGGCGATGCGGGGCTTTCTTGCATCCTGTTAAAACATAAGACACAACGAAGCTTATAGTTATTTTTTTTTACTTTCCGCTGAGTGTCGTTTCTGCAATGGGCGTAATCAGATTACATCAATGCTACAGAACCTTGTATTAACTTTAATTTCTATGAAGGCTACCCGTTTGTCTAAGATTAACAATGAATAATGTCATTCCATGTTTTGTCATTCATCCTACATAAGTATGCAAGCCAACAGATCAAGTCACTATTTCTAAATAAGGTAGCCATTTTAATGAAACAAACAAATAAAAACACCCACCTTCATGTACAAAGTGGCACATTTCCCGCTGCCCTTTTTTGGAAGAATGGAGCTGCTGGGTTCCCCTGGATTCCAGTTTCTGTAGATAACACGTGACCCGTCTGACCACTGCCACCGCCCGACTTTGCGAAGTCCGATCCATACGCGAGTGGCTGTAAGTAATGTATAATTGTCAATTAAATGTTACAATGCTTAGTGAGATACATCTGACTACAAAGCACAATTTGAACATAAGAAATTGTCACATACGTGACTAAGTGAGCAGTGGATCAGAGGTTGCAGATAGTCTGTGGTGACCCCCGTCGCAGTTGGTTGCAATGCACTGGTGTTATTGGTATCTTTGTGTTGTTTTGATAACCTAGTTGCTTGAGTAACAACAATTTCCTTGTGTATCTCATTAACTGGATGTCTAACTTTCATCGATGTTATAAGATTGCCGGAAGTTTGAAATAACCGTTGTAGAAAATAACTATGCAGTACTCACGATAAGCAATGAGACTTGTGATAAAGTTAGTCTCGCTAACGTTAAGGATGGACGTAAGGCTTGCTCCATGTAGTTTACATCGCTCTTCTGCCTCAAACCACGAGGCTTCGCCCTGCATCAGCTTGTAGCAGTGGTTGTTATACTCGCTCCATTCACTCTCACACTGTCGAACTGCGAAAAAAAGCTTAATGGTGGATTGTAGCATCAAAAGAGGCGTATGTTGATTGAGTTCAGTGAAACGTTTCTAGACACTTTCAAGAATTATGTAACATTAGGATGATACAAAAGGTCCATTTCTTGTTTGGCCATTTCTGTGCAAAGGAAATTAAACCATTCCTACTACTACTGTTGCAAATACAGGTACCACAAGCCGCCACACACGGAAAGGGAGTAATAATTAGCATTTTGTTCAGAGCATCTCTCTATACATACACGCTGGTGTTAATCCCTCCCCCTCTCTCTCTCTCTCTCCTCTCCTCTCCTCCCCCCCCCTTTCTCTCTCAGCCATTACCTGTAATAGGCAGAGATGTTAAAGTCTCGCCACTTGTTAAGTAGGGTGAGGTCGAAGAGCGAAGAACGTCTGAGCTGTTTTCCATTAACAATTCCATCATCCATGGAGTACTTGGCTCCTCTACATGTAGCTTTGCCCTGTCATCAGCAGTTGACTCATGGGCATCCTACAAATATC